CCCCCATGTTGATTTCGATCAAACCTGACGGGTTTTGAAAAGCCATCTAGCAAAAACTGACTGGTTGTAAAGGTTTCATCAATTTTGGTCTCTGCAATAGCTAATATATCAACATCATCAGCTTCAAGGGGTTTTAGAAATTCAAATTTGTTTCTGATTGAGTTAATATTTATGTAGGCAATGATTAGGCCTTTGTGGTTTTTCGCCCTGATAGCTTCCAAAGAACTGTCATCAGAGGCCATCAGTGGCTTCGTTAGGTTCTATATTAGTGAAATTGTTTTCATCCATTCCAAACCTGGGGAACGAGAGAGGGGCACTGCCACAGAGAGCTGTGGCTGTGTCAACCTCAATCTCATCCTTTTCATACCTCTTTTTGATAATGTTTTCATTCAGTCATAGCCTTGAAGCTTTAAGAAGGTTGTCCATCAAAATGCTATCTCCATGAAAGTTTAGATGCAATTAACTTCGATTCAAGTGTTTTGCAGAGTTTGGGTGATCGATGTACCGAAGTTTGCTTTCGAAGCACATATCAGCGAGAATAAGGTTAACCCTTCTTCTTCTTTCTTCGAATGGGTCCTTTCTTGCAATTAGGCCCGAAACTGTGATCGATATTTCTCTTTTTCGATTGATTCGGCAAGACCAATGATCTCCTTTGCAATTTCGACTTCGTTTTTCTTCTTATTCCGCAGTTCGTTTGTACCTACATGCAAAATAATGGCATCTGGTTTATATTCGATGGTTGGTTTAACATAATGTTTCATTTGTTCAACATTTGCTCCGCTAAAAGACTTCACATAAATCCTCTCATTCTTCTCACAACGATGTTGTAGCTCCCAAGGTTTAACGCTCTTTATCATGGAATCTCCGACGATAACAGTTCTGTGTTTTTGCTTGGCATCTTTCGTTGTTTCCTTTTCATTATCATGTTTTGTGTCCCTCCTTTGAGGACTGTCTTGCTTTCTGTGGTATTATTTGCGTTGCCATCTTTATTGTCTATTACGATATCCTCTTCTTGTTCACCATTCTCCAGGGAGTTACCAGGCTGCACTTTGCTGTCATCAATGGGCTCTGATGCTGCAGCATTCTCATTGGAGTTGCAAGGCTGCCCTTTGCCATCAGGAACTCCTTTTGTTTCCCTATTTCTCTTTCTGCTTTTCTTTTTCTTGGTTTTTCTTTCCGGTATCTCATTTTGGGTGTTCATTGTTGTCATCATTGTTAGTATTGTCATGCTTTTGTTCCGTTTCCCTTGTCCAAACTTGAATTACCTTCGTCGTCTGAATACCCCCTCCATCTAGGCCGAGTTTCCTCCTAAAGCTAAGATTTTCCTATTTACCATGACTCAATGCCTTTAATTTCTCTTTCTTTGACAATTATCAGATGTAATTATGCGACACAACTTGCTAACTGCGAGAAACTTTGATAAATGCCAAAAGCTGCTACATAGCTGGCATTTGAAAATTCAGCTGCGGAGGCTTCAACGTGACGAAGGGGCGTGAAAGATAAGTTTTGTTTACCTTCAGGCAATTTTGGTGAAGTTTTGATTGAGGTTACTTCGGTTTCTTCTTCATCATCTTCAGATTGATGTGCGTTCTCGCCCGGTGCATCAACTACATGATAAGATCCACTTTTTGTAAAGAGCTTGCCTTTAGAAACAATTTGCCCAAGTATGGATGTCGTGCATGCCTTGCTTAGGCCATGCTTGGCGGCTTCTCGCACGATGAACTTTTTGTCAGGTTTCTTCTTTTTAATAAGGCGAATCTCATTTAGAATGGTGGAAATCATATCCTGGGATACTGATTCATTCGTTGCCAAGATTCAAGCGAAGAAACATGAATTTCAAAAGAAATGTCGAAATAAAAGAGATGATTGAAGAAGTGTTCAACCAACGTCCACCGACTCTAGTTAGGTTAGGGCCTATTATGCTTCGTATGTTTTATTTGTATCAAAGTGTCTTGGTTATAAACACAGTGTATTTCTGGCGTTTTACTCTCTGGGTTCGTGACACAATTAATTTCAACACATATATTATCTTAATATTGAGCGGTTGGGTTTTCTTTAACATGTTTGAGAGTTGTTTGGTAGTTGCATTACATCCAAGTGTTTACGTTACAGTTATCAAATAGAATGGATATTACGTTATTCGTTTCTTTGAGTGAATTTCTTGTCTCGCTAAGAACCGAAGGAAAGTGAGGTTGGGTGCATTTCTTAAAAATCTATTCCCTGTGTTTATCGCACCGTACATCAAAGAGGTAATCCCTGGTGTGACAGAACTTCCATCATAGAGATAATACTTTACATATATCGTAATTCGTGGGCGATGATCCCCGACTCAGCTTCCCGATGGTCTATGACAGTCTGCGATGGTTTATGACTTATGAAAACCGGGTCATCGGGAACCATCGGCGATCATCCCCGATCATCGCAAAAGTCAAAATAATTTGACTTTCCCGACGCTTCCCGACGAACAATAGTAAAGAGAACAATGGATCAGGAATGTTCTGTCAAAAGTGAGTTCATTTGAACTGAAGGGAGGGTAACTGTTTCGCAGAAAAACTGGAATGCTTTCGATAGTACAGGGAACATTAAGGGGGCTATAATTCCTAGTTTGATTCCTAGTCTTAAGTTTGTGTTTCATCATTTTTTAAGGTGAATCATCGTGAATCTTCAGCTATGTCTTGATCATTTCATAATCCACTAAACAGAAATTTTCCCAAAAAAATTCATACTGGAATTTGCCTCTCCTTTTTTATCTTCATTGTAACAATGGCTTCTTCTGGAGCAATATTTTTCTGACGGGTGCGCGGGGAAAGTTTCTTACTTTGTTGTAATGAATTTTCATTTGCAAATATATCACGAAATTATCAATGTGTTGCTCATAAACGTTAATGTGTTGATCATAGATCGATGATAGTATCAAAAGTTGACTATTGGCCTTTATCAGCAGCCATATTCCCAAACTTTCATCAAAATTATAGTTTTGACGCTTCAATATTGTTTATAGCATCGGGAAGCTGAGTCGGGGATCATCGCCGACGGGTTACGATATATGAAAACCAGGCTTTAAGGCTGGTTTACATATATCGTAATTCGACGGCGATGATCCCCGACTCAGCTTCCCGATGGTCTATGACAGTCTGCGATGGTTTATGACTTATGAAAACCGGGTCATCGGGAACCATCGGCGATCATCCCCGATCATCGCAAAAGTCAAAATAATTTGACTTTCCCGACGCTTTCCCGCGTTTGTTTACGAATAGCTCTATTCCCATATGTACATGACACTACATGTTCATTACATTAAGGCTCCGTTTACACGAGACCTGAACCAGATCGGATCCAAAAGTATCCGAATACTTTTGGATCCGATCCCTGAAGTGGCAATGCGTTTACACGGGATCCGATCCAGAACCATTTGCGTTTGCACGGGAACGGATCCAGATATATTATACAGGTAGCGTTTATGACGTTTTCAGAACTTCGTGCGTGATCAAAACACAGTTCAACCTGAACATGGAGGGAGGGAACGCTAAAAAGAGTCAATTTTCATTAACTGAAAAAGAAACTGCGCTACTTTTAAAAATAGTATTGGACAAAAAAACTGCAAAGCTTGCAGGTGGACAGGATTGGGAAAATATTAGGACAAAGTACGATGAAATATTGTCAAAGTTTCGTAATAATTCTTCAACACAGTAGTCTGTCAACTTGATGTTTGATTTTCTGGCACCAAAAAGCCACGAATTACATATTAAAACTACCTCGAATTGAAAAATATTCTGTCTCACTTTCGACAAATAACGTAGATAGATCAGATCCGCCCGTTTACACGGGATCCGGTTCAGATCGGATCCATACGGGATCACCTCTGAAAGCGATCTCAAAAGTGTTCGGATAGCGGACCCAAAAGTATACGGATCCACCAGTTCCCGTGTAAACGCAAGGCCTATCCGTACTCTTTTGGATCCGATCCGGAACACAACACTTCCCTTTCTTCAGTATTATACTATAATGCCATGTTCCCAAGAGAAGGCTTAATCAGTCTCTTGGGTTTGCTTTAAAATGTTCAGAGGTGGAGAATCTTGGAAAACCGACTTCGGCCTTGAAGTTTCCTCTGATAATGTCGTTGCTGCTATAGCCGGTGAAAGTGGTAGCCATGCGTGCAGTGCTGAAATTGGATGCCTTAAAGTTGAGTTTTGGGGGAATTAATATATAATTTCGCAGCGAATTCGCAGTCTCGTGGAAACAAAAGACAATTTTGAAGAGAATTCGCCGCGAATTCGATGCGAAATTCGCCTCGTGGAAATCATTCATTTCAAATCATTCATCGTGGAAATCAAACAACGGGAGTATGCAAATCTAATCAGGGTAAATGGAGTTTTGGGATCGTTTATATCCATGCTGACTTGATGCTGGCTCCAGTGCTGCCTTTAGAACCATCACTGATTGTATCCCAAACAACGTTGTTTGAACGTGAATGAGTCCACTCAACTCAACCTTTGCAGCCATTGCTCGTTCCTGTGACCATATGTGTATTCTATGACGGCTCTTTGTCTTTATTCGCACGAAAACGTTCCGCAAAATATCAAACATTGCGCTCTGGTCAAGATCGCATGCGAATTTCAAACAAAAGATTGCATGCGATTTACGACTAGCGATTGAAGTGGAAATTGGCCTTTGAGTTTGTATGACCATTTCTATAATCTAGAAACAGAAGTGTACTAAGAACAGAGCCTTGTGGTATATCTTGTGGCCATAAGTTGCGAACTACAAAACTCTTCGAGAGAGAGCAACGGCGGACACGCACACGCATGCCAGCGGCGTGCAAGAAAAGAAAAGGCTATAAACTGCGGTAATTCGAAATAAGTCCAAGGAAGTTACAGATTTTCAAAAATTAACTAGAATTACCTTAATCATAAACTCAAGAGCTCTAGATTAAGTGAGTGATGGGGATAAAGTATTGGAAGCTTTTCTAATCCTTTGATATTAATCTGTCTGTATTACAGGGACATAATAAAGGAAGCATTGTACAAGTATGGTCGGTTCAATCAAGATCGGTTTCTGGAGAATTACGTCAAGGTTAGTTTTCTAATCTTTAGCGACAGCCTTCGCATTGTTCAGTAACAGCTACTGTCGTTGCTCTGACTTCAATTCAAATATAAGAGTATTGATAAACTTTTATCGCGCTACTTGGAAATTGGACGTGCTAAACAGTGTGTCAGCGAATTAGTAAAACACCTAAAGTCGAGTTATCACCTTAAAGCTAAGTTGTGGTTTTTGTCAGGGTATCGTGTTATCAGAACGGATGTAATTGCGGAGGTCCTTGCAATTTCTTACTGCATAACTGTTCGTTCTGAGTTTGGGGACTGTCGCAAAAAGAGGGGTCATTAGCCCCCTCTCAGCCCCAGCCCTGCGAGGGGACTGATGACACAAGCATTTTCCGATACAACTATAGTTGTTATCGTCGTATTTAGGAATGGGGGTTGGTACGGGAATTAAGTTTCTCAAGTACACAGCTGACTTCAACTTGCAGTAGGTTTGTCCAGTATGGTTACATTAAGCAACTTTTGGTCTATGTATGTCAATTATCTTTAAGCTTTTTCAAAAACTGTTCCTAATGCATGCATTGCAGAATTCAAACTCTGTTCTCTTTCGATTCCTGGAATCCCAATTCACCATTCTACATAAATCTAGATAGAATATTTTTAAAAGTCTACTGTACCTCAGCTTGGCAACATATTTTCAGGGCGGTAAGCAAATCGAAAGGGCCTAACACATGCTGTGACAAAAAATCTTAACCATCACCAATTAAATTACGTTTGATTGATTTTTAGACCCCGTTTACATGAGACCGGTTTCAAAAAGATCCGTATCCATTTGAGTTCACTTAGGCGTTCTGTTTACACGAGACCTGCCTAACCGTACTAATTTGAGATCACCTAGCCGTACTCATTCGAGTTCACCTACGGAAGCGTACTTATTTGGAGCCGGTCTCACTTGGTCTCGTGTAAACACTCGAAAGTGGATCTTTTTGAGTACGCTACCGTAACGAGGGTAAATTCTCCAGCGACGGAGGCTTTAGCAAGAGGAAGCATTTTCGTTTGTTCGCTTTGGTGACCTTTTTACGCACCATCGTGACAATCGCCAAGAAACAAGTACGCTCTAATAATGGAAAAATCGTTCAAAATAACGTTGAATTTGATGTCTGTTTTATGTACACACTCTGCAGCAGTCAGTAGTAGTTTCTTGTTCGCAACCCTAATGATTAAAGGTTCATCGAAGTCGACAAAACAGGTTGGTTGCGTTAGCAGAACAGAGCTGCAAACGACATGATCGTTTTGCACAAGCTGATAATTGAAAAGAAATTAAAGAGAAGAACATTTCTGGACGAGGCCTTTGGAGAACAGAAACCTAGTGGAGTAACTTTAGAAATAAAGCGAAAGTGAAGCGAATTTGGCGCCTTTTCACTTTTGTTGTCACGGTAATAGGGGCCTTCGACTCGAGTGTTTTGAGCTTTCTTTCACAAACGATCTTGAGTTCAGGTCTCGTGTGAACTGAAAGCGTAAGTGAACTTTTTTGGAGACGGTCTCGTGTGAACAGGAGGGAGTGAACTCAAATGGATACGGATCTTTTTGGAACCGGTCTCGTGTAAACGGGGTCTAAGTCACTTATAAATCGATGTGCGAAAGAGCATTAATGTTTCACTCTAGTTTTCTAGGGTCATGTGTGTGCTTGTAATTCTGTCTGTTCCTAAACTAATTTTCAACTATTTTTTCTTTATAAATTATCTTTTTCAAGACTAATCAAACTACACGCCGAGGGTTGTGAGAAGGGACTGTAATTTATTTCATTGACCACCATTTTCCATCAAGACAAGATCTCCCCATCCCCATTTTCTTGGGTGACTTACGGGCATGACAAAGGGCAGACCTCTTCACGTTGAATAAAATATCCCTTTCTTATCAAGCTCATCAATCGTTTAAAACTAGTAAGTTCATGAATGAAGTTCATATTTCGTAGCCAAGACTTAATACTTGGATGCAATCAGTATATTTTGTTTTTATAGGTTCTTGGTGGAACGATGAGAAAAGGGAAAGAGGTAATTCTGTATTTTTGTAAGTTAAAACAGATGCAACCAGGCATTAGTGTTGTCACGTGTCACATTTCAGCGTTGTCAAGTCAAATACGTTTTCAGCGTTGTAAAGGCTTGAAGTTAAGTTCTGGGCTCGTTTTAAAATTTTGCATGTTTTTGTCTATTGGTAGCTAGATCTGATTTAAAATTCGTTTCCGTTTTCTAACAAAGACTTACAATCAGTCTTAGAATGCTATAAGTTTGTTTGAAACTGGTCAAACAAGAGTTTTGAATGAGTTGCTTATATCATAAACTTAATTTGGGGCACGCGTTTATTTTTCCTACGTGAAGCAATGTGTTTCTGATAGAAATATTCTAAAAAAAGCACTGACTTCCCTTTTCCTCTCCCGCGACTCTCTTGCAAAACAGTCAAAGTATAAAACTGTGCCTCTTTATTTTGCTGCCATTTTCTCCGCTTTGAAATGCCATAATCATTACAATCAACCTTTTCATTATTACCTGGTCATACGTTTTTAACCTTCATTCTGTCTTTCATGGAAAAGGTAGTTACCCGAGCATTGTAAAAACACAAAGGGAATGAAAAGTAGCGAACGCAAAGCCAGATTTGCGAACAAAACATAGTCTTGCATTTACAAGCAGACTGTTTTTTGCTATTCTGAAGAGGCAACTAACAAGTACACTCAGCTTTTATAAAAAAACCGCCAAAAGAAATTCTGGTTGCCTCCAGAGTTTAGAAAACGCCGGACCTTCCTCTGGATGAAATTTGCCCTCTTTGCCTTCATCGACATTTTTCTTGCATAATTTGAAAAGATTTTCTAAGAAATGGGTTTCAGTTAAAATCATCTACGCTTTGTCAGGAAAAGTTTACCCATAACGGTAAATCCTCTCGCTTTATATACTCTGTTTTGTGCTCTATGTCATGCTATAAAACTACCGAATCGTTGGATAACCGTTCTCCGGCTCACAGCCGTGGAACTGATATGTCTTCTGTTGTCTGGTTTTCTCTTTTCTGAAAATAAAAGCTGCCCTAGAAGCGATCGGAGGTCAATAGAAATTCAAGAAACTCTTTTTAATTTCCTATATATTGATGTGCTATTTACCGGCCGATACCGGCAGATTTGAACAAGCACGGGGTTATCGACACGCTGAAAAGTGAAAAGAAACCAGCGTGGAACGAAAATGGCGCTGAAAAAAGGAAAGAGAAAAAATCGTTTTCTTTTTCGGACAAGATTTCACCGGAGAAGGTTAGCGAGTAAAAATATGTAAAACCAGATTCGCAAAAACTACATCGGGATATGTTTTTGCTAACCCTACTGTACAGTGGCTTACTGGTGCTTCTCCGCGAAGTTTGAATTGCTAATGAAAAAATGTCAACTTTCTTTCATAGATTTTGTCCGCGTTAGAGATACCAAAAGACGGGAAAGTAACGCAGGAGCATGTATGGTCAAGAGTTCGATTGGCGCTAGAAAAATACGAGAACGCGTTGACGCATGACCCAGCCGCTGAGAAACGGATATTTCAAATCATATATCACGGACTATATCCTTCTCAACATGATGAGCTCTAGAAGTACGGTAAACTGTTTCATTTTTTTAATTTTAGCCGCATGCTTTTAATTTATGCTTTATTTATTGCTCGCGAGAGATGTATTTTGGTTGGCCGTTATTTAATAAACGTTATTGGGCAATGAAAATTGGACGAATATTTGAGCATTTCATTTTTTTATTCCATTTAATCTTGCTTATACATGATACTGTAAGAGAGACGTTATAAGGAGCAAAATTGTTTGCGATAAATGGTACAAATTTGCTGTTCATTGTAAAAAACAAATTATCCTGAAAATTTCCTGTTCTACCAGGAAGTCATTTTTCGGAAGAATCTTCCCTATCTCATTGAGCCAAAAGGCATTGAGCCAAAAGGCAAAGTAATTTGCATCGCCAAAAAGAATTGATGGTTATTCTTGTGGGTTATGTGAATATGGAAGACAATCACAAAAAGGCAACATGTTGTCTGAAATACAGAACGGTGGTCAAATTTAGGGGAAGGAAGTTGAAGCGAGCAAGAGTGCGCAGGTCTGCGAGCGCTGATATCGGGGATGTCGTCTGGAGGCCGATACCGGAAGATTTGAACGAACGCGGGATTATGGACACGCTGAAAAGTGAAAAGAAACAGTATGGAACGAAAATGGCGCAGAAAGGAGGATAGAGGAAAAAATGGCGGACAAGATTTCACCGGAGAAGGTTAGCGAGTAATAAAATTCCAGGTTTGAAAAGTATAGGTTTGAATACCATAATATTCATTTTTGACGCAAAAAAGTTGCGTCTATTACTTATAAGGCCTGTCTCAGGGGTCGAAATTACGCATTGATGCCTCTTCAAGTTGCAGCTGGTTGTGCATTTCTTCCGCATGTCGTCTGCGTGGTTAACTGCGGCAGATGAGATATTTAAAGCATTTCGTTAAGTTGAAGAAAGTAGAAAGCCAGCACTTATGAGATTACAATTTAATTACAAAATTACAATTTAATTACAAATGAGATTACAAAATATACTCTGGGCTTTCTTCACTCCATCAGTCTTTGAGTTATATTTCTCTATTGCGCATGACATGAAAGAAAGATTGGTGCGTTTAAATTGCTTCTTGTTTCGAGCACTCGGTGACTTTATTATAGCTCTCTACTTGGTTAAAAAGACTAAATAGAGACATCAATGACATTTGTCCATTTTTTACCCCCTCCCCCCTCGTACCATGTATTTCGTTCATCAAGATAAAATATTACCGTTTTATTACGACTGTCGTGTTTTGGGAGACGATTCCAGGAAAGTGACAATTCACACCACACGAAACCAGTGAACAAGTCATCGACATATCAGATTTTGTAATTTTCTTTTCATCATGCAATCACGATAATGGTCATATCATTTGTTCAGAAGATGATTGTGATCGTTGAACAGTGCTATTTTTCGGTTTTTATTTACATGCTCTCGTTAAGTGGGACCCCGGATAAGTAGGACGCCCGCTAAGTAGCACAGATTTTCCCGGTCCCTTGAACTTGCTTACCCATATCAAGCATTCGGATAAGTAGGACGCCCGCTAAGTAGTAAACTTTTGCTCGGTTCCTAGAGTGTCCCACTTAACGAGAGTATTCTGTAATTTTCTGATTAGAATTCGGCAAACGTTGAAAAAATAACCTCCTTTTGCCTCATTGAATCTTCATAGATTTCAACAAATTACCCCGCTGCTATTTGTTCTTAAACCACACCATCGACAGCAATTCGTCACTTTAACGTTTGTTCCTTTGATAATGCCATTGGAAAGCAAAAGGTATCTTTCTGGCAAAATTATACGTACCGTTATTTCCCATAACGAAATACATTCCAATTCAAAGAGAGTTTTCTAGAACCTACAGGGTGTCTTTCGTGCCAGTACCTTTTGCTTGAAAAAGCCTTTGAACAATTTATTTGTAACAAGACACCCCTGTTGTCAGGCATTGCCAACCAAGTTCATCATCACGAAAAGATTTAAGTATAAAGAACCCATTGTAGAAACCCTTGACCCTTCAGGCTGGTAGCCCACAATCAATTCTATGTTAAATTTTTGGTCAAGCTGAGATCAATGCCAACGTTAACATAACATTAAAAAATATTACAGGGTGTAATTCAAAAACCCCGCCAAATAAGAGCGGGTCGATGCTTTTTAGCAAGTTTTGATGTGTGTCTGCTCTATTGCCACTACTACATTAGCGGTATTTTGATGCCAATGGATTGAAACAGACGTTATATTATGGAAAATGGTCATACAGACAACTATAATCTTTGGTTTCGCGTTATCGCTTAGGTCATGCTAAAGTATCGTGTGTCAATGGCTCTGTCTGGCTTTCTGTCACTTATCCTCCGCTTTGTTTTACCGGCGAACAAGCCAGCTTGTGCAATGAAGATTCCTTCTGAATCAGATCGCGGAAAGCACTTGTGTTCTTGCTGATATCTGCCAGCTCTTCCAAGATGCGTCATAGAACGTTTTTTATCATCACGTTGTTTCTGCTTGGATCAACCTGGAGTTCTCGTGTTAGCAAAAGGAGAAAAAATAAAGCCGCCAGCGCTGCTACGTAAGTGATTTAAAATTTTTCTTAAACCTCAGTTTAATTAGAAAACCCTTAACTTGCTGCCACCCATGGAGGACATTGGGAAAGAGCTTTCTCTTTTCAGGTTACATCTGATAAAGGTTGGTCAAAGAGCCACATTATGATTGACAAATGGAGCGGAGGCAACAAGCCTTCCTTCAAAAGTCTCGTAACTTGTCTTTTTAGTGATAATCGTCACTATTTCCCTCGAGTCTCTCTTCAAGATAGAATTTGAAAATGCGCGTCAGACCTTATTTTTCCTCCGGGTACATCCGGAAAGTCGACTTCTTTTTCTAAACTGGTCAAATCATTTTCGAGTCTTCCACATAAGTTGTTGTGATAATTTATCAATATTTACGCGGGAATACCTTTCAGCTTAAAAATTTAACAAATTGATAATTTATTAGCAACATATCTTTAGGAAAAATGAAATCGCTGCTCCACCAAAGGGTTGTGTTTGGGTCCTGCTCTAAATTTAAAGGTTGAAAAGATGCAAGCACTGTTTGGCATTTTATCCAATCTTGCTTACAACTCTCTCAAGCTTTCCAACAAATACAATACTCCGTTTGGTTTATTACATCACTAAAGCCATGTCCCGAGCTTCGATGGCACGGCTGAAGCCGCGACGCAAAATTGTACACTACACTACATTTTTGAATACTTTATACTGCACCCCCTCTCCCCTTAAATATGTTATCTTATGGGGAGTTAAGAGGCTAGTACTTTTTGCATTTTAAGAATTTCAGAAAGAAGAATGTTGCGCTCGTATTCCATAGTTTCTCTTCTAAAACGTGATTTTTCAAAGTTCCATAGAGTTCCATGAAACATTAATTATCCAAGATGTATCGTATAGGGTATGCATCAACGTCAGAACAAGGTAGGTATAGCGGTACGGCGAGAAGACTATTCTCTGTGCCTTATCAACCGTACTGGGCGGGCATAGAAGTTAACTATATCCTGGTTTTTGGTCTAAGTCTTTGTAGGGTTCCCCGATGGATACAACATCCAATGTCAAAATCTTTGTAAGGAAAAACAAAATTTCACCCCTAGACCCTGAAACAAAATATGAACAAGAACCTCCCCTTACTATCCTCCCATGACAAGGAGAACTTTACCAAAATTCCCCTTATTGGGTCACATTGTCGAGTTTGTGTAACCTTCTTTTCTAAGCTTTCGACTCGTGAAATAATTGGTTCGCAACGGTACATGTTGCTAATTTTCCTAACGAAATTATCAGTTTTAATAAGGATTTGATTCCGGATAACGGGAGAGATAGGATATCGCCGCTTTACGCACGATATGATGAGGTGCTTAGCGGCGATAATTGCGTAAAATGAGCGTCTGGTATTCTGGAAAACCCACAAAAATTTTGCCTTAAACACTTTCCATCACTGTGATGGTTTGTTGTAACCAAATCTGTAAACCAATTCGACCTTCTGAGTTCATCGAGAGCAACCCAACTAGAAAACAAAGTTGTATTCATTAACGTAGGCCTGATTTGACATTTGAATCAGGTGAGAAAATGTACGAGTGAAAATGGTTCAAATCGTAGTAATTTCCAGCACAAAGCTGGTGAACCAATTGATTAGACTCTTGTTTCGTGTCTCACCAGTGATAAGTCCATGTCGATAGAAAAGTGCATGAATTAATGATAGAGTCAACTCAAGATGACGTCATCAGCGTAAGGCGGCTAGCAACTCTTCGGGGCTTCTTAAGCGTCAGAGACTTAACACCTTCAAGAATATGAATGGAGATGAAACCAAGAAAAGGGTGTAACATGCCTCAAGCGAGAAAATTACAACCATGATTGAAGAAAACAGGAAAAGGGGATATAATAGAGAGATGTCGGTCCAACGCCGGGAAGGAATTAATGTAAGACGACAAACAATTTAATCAAAAAACATAAATGGTGAATCGAATATTCTTAATCAGTCCATCTTTTACCCTTCAAAACTCTTCAAAATCTTGAGATCAAAGGAGAGGGGTCGTTCTTCCGCGACAGTAAACGAAGGCCATTTTGCTTCACGGTAAATGTTATTTCTCAAATCTGAAATAGATATCCACTATACTATCTTGTATATATTTGAGAACTGATCGAGCAAAAAGGTTCCTGGTAATGAAAATTCCCCACTTTTTCAAAAAACTTCACGAATTCTTAAAATTAGAAGTATCATGGATCATAAACTGGAAAATCTTCATCCCCACCAGTAGGGCCATTGCTATGGCCCAGCTGTAACATCTGACTGGACAAAGCTAATGTACCTTTCGATGTGGTGAACGTCTTTCTTTTTTCATTGTCCGAGAACAGTTCTTCTCATGAGCTGCATGGATATAGCAAGGAATTGGAAACATATTCGCTTTTTCCACCTGCTTTAGAGAGTGACCGGACCATAATCATGAATACAATTGTTAGAGACCTCGCCCCAGGTGCCTAGAAAAATGAACACGTGTCGCGAAGAGTTGTTGGTAGGAGGAGGAAGGAGGAGATGGCGTAGATTTTGAGTGCAGTAACAACGTAATATGTAATTAGCTTGTATCCTACAAATAATAAAACCAAAAGCTGGAGAATTTTCTGTCCAAAGTCTAACACGTGAAGCACAAGGTTCACAACAAAAATAATCGAAAGATCGAAAGGCCATAATATTAAGGCCACGCCCTTTATAATCTTTGAAAGCCGCGCTTTCATAGACTGCAGAAACAGATTATCGTTGAACCAATAAGAATATTTCCTTCCTTTCCATAAAATTCTTTGATTAAGGGTTATCATATATGACGTAGTCCATTATTTCACGAATAAGGTTCTTGTTCAGTCGTGAATTTGCACTTTGACCATTCTTAAAATTTGGCTTGATTACCTAAGGCAATATAAGCGAGTGAATTTACACATTTTGCTTTGTTAAGTAGTGTTCACAAAATTAGGACCCACACGTTTTGCTTGATGACTCGAAAAAAAATTAGTTTCAGGACAGGGACAGCTAGATAATTTTGTCCATTCGTATATTTTTTGTTCATCATAATTTTGATATGGTGAACAATCTATCTATATTCTAATCTGTTTAAAGAAAATTATATTAAGACGTTTTTATTTTTAAAAGATTTCAGGATTATTGTAAGTAGGGACTTTCTATTTCTTTTTTTAATTTTCCATTTAGAAACGCGTCAACATCACCTTATAGACTACTTTAGGCACTGTATAATATGTAAAATACATTTATACAGAAGCTGTATTTCGGTCAAAAAGCAACACGGTCTGACTTTCATTCTTAACTGGTAGAGTGGCCTTTTTACTTACAATGGCGTCTTAATTTCATTTTACAGATGCAACTGTGAGCTTCATATGGCGAATGGGTGGACAAACGATCTCATGTTGAATATATTCAACCGTCCGGTTGCAGCATGGGGGCCGGGTAAAAGCACTTGTGGCCGAGTACGAGAGGGCTGCAAGATCCTGTGCAGCATCATGGGAAGGCGGTATCTGGAGGGCCGAGATATAAACGCCAATTCACAGGGGACACGGCTAGGTCAACGGCTGTGTGAAATCCATAGTTACAGAAATGGCTACCGGCCTATCAACCCCCCTGGAAAGATTGTATCTGTAAATTACAAATTGGATAAATGCTGGAAACAGAACTTAGGCTACGCAGTTGCATTCAAAGTGCACGGAAACCTTTGCTGCAAACCCGTGTCTCCCTTCAAAGCGTATCCATTTGTGCGACTTTATGTCTGGAACAAAGACTGTCTTGATAACGAAACATACAATTGACGACGCGTTAAAATCAGAAAAAGCGAATTTTGACTTAGTCAGTACTAGTACCATAAATTTTTGTCATTCTGGAGGAGCAGGGTCTGTATCATGAACTGCGCTAGTTTTTGACAGAGATATGTAAGCATAAAGAAGCGTCCGATAGAATGTTTTCAGGGACCTTGACTATCTAGGCTTTTTTGACCTTTGATATTCTTAGCTATCTTTTGGGAGATAGAAAGATTTTCGCAGTGCCTCTACGGCGCCATTCTTGACTCGAAAGAGCCTTTCCACAAACTGGTGTGGCTTTTTCCTGGCTTAGCACTAGTCTATCGACCTTTGTCAACGATCAGTACATTCATTGCTAGTTTTCAGCTATTTTCATGCGTAACCTTTCTCGTGCCAATCATTTCCAAACCCCTCCCTCTCCACCGATTTCCAAACTTTTCCAAAAAACCATGTAAATATGGCCTCTAGATATAGCAGTTAAAATTTCGATAAATTGTTTACTTTTCAAAAGTGCAATAGGGATAACCAGGCTTCATTTTAGAAAGCTTGATTTAGAAAAATATAGAAACGACACAAATATTTTTGCTACAAAAAGAAACTATTTATATTCCATAAGACTCTGCTCAATTCAACATAAAATAGTCCCAATTTCCATCTTGGTACAAAGAAAGATAAATAAGTCCCTCTGTGATACTTGCAGAAAATTTAGTTGCATGTAGCTGGCGTCATCTGTGGAATTTCATTGTGGCCATAAACCCAACAACTTCTCTCTGAGCTTCTCAAAGTTCAGGACCCCTGATAGTTAGTTAAGGCATACAAACTTTGTCTATTTTGTCTATACAAACAACGTCTTTTGCAAAGTGCAACGATGCATTGTAACACAAAAATAATGCTATGTACCCATTTTGTTATGGAATATATTTGATTATGTAAGAAAAATTTTGTATGAAATTCTGACTTTCGCTTTCAGTTATCTCCTATATTTAACCATATGAAATCATATGATAGAATTTTGAAACTTTTTATGATAATAATATGATAAAATATGATAAAATATGATGACAGAAACAGAGGACAGAGCAGATCGTTGTATGTCGGTTTCATAGGTTTATAAAAGTGTTCAATTGCCTGAGTATACTGTGACTGTAAATGAAATGTTCTAGTAGTCATTTAATTTGATGAACAAATGTAGAAAGTCCAGGGAACTGCAGGACCTAGTTCTTGTGGTGACAGAAAGAGGTTCTATTAGACACAGGATATGTTGTGCTCTTTCACTCTGCCTATAAAAGTGCGATGACTTGATGGCTTTCAAAGAGGGACATCAACTGGAGGGACAATTTGCGAATGTGTATTTAGCAGTGTGGGAGAACTACTGACAGTTCCGGAGAGAATAAAAAATGCATGTGCAAGGAAAGGATTCTTTTCAGTGCTTAGACGACAAAAATCATGGTTTTTAACAGAAAGAATTCACATTTGTTGGCACGAATGATCCATAAACAAGAAAGCAGTGGTCAGATGATAAGAAGAAGAATGTGCAAATCGGTTGAACTGAAGTTGTTGAAGGTATGGAAAGGTAAAGGCATGTCACTGTCTCTGGAAAAATGATAATGGAGGCCAGGCAGAAATGCCTAAAAGACCAAATGTGGCTGGCGAGCCATAAGATGCCCAGGTCTGCTATATTGTCATCAAGAACATTCCATCTTTGCACAGTATAATTACATGACGTACAAGCAAGGTGGGGGGCTTCAACTTATATTTCATCATAGTCATGATGTTTTCTGAGAGGTATTGTGACTACATAACAACAGGTATTACTTTTCAATATTAGTATTGTGCCTATGATTGTCGTAGAACATACAAACAGTATAGTCATCTGCACCACCTTCGTTTACATTCAAGCATATTAATCCCATCCCCAACGTTGGGAATAAGCAAACAAAAGAAAGCTAGATGCATTTGAAATACATTGCTACAGAAAAATTATACAATTTTTTTAGACTGAACATTGCTTTAATAATTTGGTAAGCAATCAGACTGGTTGTCCCCTATTGTTCTCAGAACTTCTTTTCATGGCTATGATATTCATGCATTAGTGGTTTAATGCACCAATAATCTTATCAGAGCCACCGTAGCATACTCTCTGAGTGAGTTGCTGTGAATTTTGTTTTGTTGGCAAAGCTCTAAACCAGTTTTGATGATACAAAGATTAGGAGTTTTTGTCAATCACCCACAATAACTCATCTCAGCTGCAAAAAGGCAGAGCAAGACAATCACGGTAGGGAAAGACTGCCTTCAACTCCCAGGAAGAAAATAAGGAAGAGAAAAATGATAGTCTTTGTTCATGTGGTACTAAGACAAGAAATAGAAGACTGTACAAGGGCTGGAGAAAAGTTTTAAGACAACCTCATAGTTGCAATAAATCATAAGGGCAGCAGTGATCAACCTAGGTACAAAAAAAGATTAAGTGAAAGAATCAATATTCGAGCATTGCAATGGAGAACCATATCACAAAGAAGATAGGAAGCAGCTTGGAGAAAGTCTGTAGATTTCTGGTTGAGAGCTTCCATAATCTTCACACATTTGTCTTCACAGAAAAAGTTTATCTTTTGTCCAGTTTGTCACTGTTAAAGAGTTCCTGTATCATTCAATAATAAATGCAGGAATAAAATACTAACCTTGTCTGTATTACCTACTATCAATATTAATTTTTATGAAAATGCTTAGATCCATGGCTCTAACATGTGCTTAGGGTTTAATTAAGCCAACAACAAAAGTAAGAAAAAACTAAACGTAACTTAGATGTAACTTAAATTTTCAAGACTTGTTGAAAGGATATTCTCCTCCAGGAACAAGCTGTGTGATAGAAAAAAATAAGAAAAAGTCAATTAAAATGAATGGAACAAAAAAACACTTATTATCAGGTAGAAGAGGAGGAATAGGTTATAATTTTCAGGACAAACTGGAACTTGGCAATTGCAAAGTTTTAAATTATGTTGTAGGCAAAAGCTAAATTTACCTTTAAATATGGCATTATTTCTCTACAAATAACCTTTGGCAATAAAGATTAAAATATAACCTACACATGAGAATTGTGAATGTTTGCATCCTTGTCTCCAAACTCTTTAGTTTTAAGTTTAAAATCAGGTTGTAACTTCTGCCCATATAGTTAACATGAAATAAGTAGATATATTGCATGAGAAATAATCTGGCTATTACCCTTTACTGCCAAATTTGGTCATGAGTTTAACGATATACTAATTAGTTTCTTTGAGTAATTCAATCATGCTCCTGTTTCCTCAATCAAGTCATCCTCCTTATAACTATCTTTAAACAACACAACAGCATTTCATTTCTCAATGAATAAAGATTATCATCATGCATTATTTATAGTAATACTGATGTAACTTATAAAAAGAGTGAAAAAAGTTTAACCAAACTGTTATAATCTTCTCAGACACAAGCTGTTTAACAATTACTTACCATGGTTACATTGTTTCCATTCAATAGGATTTGGTCTAGTTTTGTGACTCGTTTTCCTTCCTGTGTAGTTTGTCTACCAATTTTAAAGAATAAATAAATTGAAACAGAGCATATCAATGCAGCCAAAGATTGCCCTTTCATCATTTAATTTAAAACAGAAAATGTTTTAAATGCAACAAATGAGACTACGCATATAGAATAAAATTTTAAGATGTTGAGAATAGAGAAGAACAATAAATTTGCAAAATTGTTATGTTCTCAACATCTGATATAAATATTCAAAACATCGAAGTGCTAGCGAAAGTTGTTAAAGGTAATGTGTCCATATAAAAGGACTGCGTATACCAAACTTGTCAAGCCACCCATCAAAATAACGGTTTGCGATTGGTTAGTATTCTTGCGATGCAAAACTGCTCACATGAAAAGCAAACCTTGCAGCAGGATAGATAAACAAAACGACCGTAATTACTGGGGCAATGACATGAAAATCAGATTTTTCTAAAAAACCATGCAGAGTCGCTTGCTTTAGCTGGACACATTACCTTTATGATAACACTTTTATGTATGGAGCTGCACTGGTTTCTACTTGATGAGCCGATAAAAAATAATACAATAATGACAGATTTGTTAATCAAAAATTTCATTCCCATAATAACTAATACTTACACTTCAACAACATCCTCTAGAACCATATCTGAGATTTCATTAAGGAGAATTTCATAAATAGCTACAAATTAAAAAGTGATGAATGAAAGATAATGATAGTTGGAGTGAAGTGATAATGAAAATTCAGTTTTTATCAAAAGCTTCTGGTTTCTTGCTGGTATTGAAACACTTGATCAATGTCTAATTTGCAGATGAAAGATTGTAACACTAGACATTACTCTTAGCATGACAGAAAAAATGTCAGTTGAAAGCATTTTCTGGTGAGAAAATTGGCTATTTGTGAGTAGTAATCAACAAAACAGGTAGTGATAATTTCCTGGCACACAAAGAGGAAAATAAGAGGATCTAAAACTTGGACACATCCTGGTAAATAAACAAGATTGTGGTTACATGTGGTTAAAATATGATATTGAAAAGGATACTGACGAAATCATCAAAGCCTAGCAATGTCCCTACAACCTCTCTGTCTGTTTTCATAATAATATGAATTCTTGATCCAATGCATTTATCAATGAGTTCTACAAATTAAAGAAAATGTTAGACCACAAAATAGACAAGCAAATATTAGCAGAAAGTTCATAAAAAATTCATGTGGTGGAACTAAAATGTCAAGTAAATAAATTAACAGATCATTCAAATTTTTAAAGACTATAAATCATGGTCAATAGTATTCTGTGGGCATTTCAATCAACCCCCCTAATTCACAACCTCTTACAAACCAATTCAGGGTTTTCCACATTCAGAAATAAACCGACATGACCAAAAAGTCATTTATTTGATAACAAAGGGATGATTTTTTTGTATTAAAACATTGAACTCAACAAAATTTTGAAAATGAACCAAATGCTATGTTATCAAATCATGTTCAAGTTCCACCGCAAAGAGGCCAAGTTTCTTGCTTTCATCGTCACCACTGTCTAACTCTGAAGAATAGTATCTTGATGGAGCTTAGATTTCTTTTGAATTATGGCTCTTAATTGTTTTTCATTGTGACTTTAGAATATAAAATAGTTTTGAAACAATGTCAACATTGGATCTTGTAAATGAAGAATCCAGTCACTTCTATACGTAAAAAGAAGACTCCGGTTATACAGGATGAAATAAAGATACGCAATTCGAACAATGGAAAAATGACTGAGTTGACTTTCGTAATCTGGATAGGCACGTTGTAAATCATGTGCTTCGTGTAAAGAGGAAATATCAAGTTCTAAATTCAATCGAGATTTCTAGCTGACCTTGTCTAACAACATTTAGTGCTTACCAAGAGGGAGAAGTTGTGTAGCCATGTTGGTATCGAGTAAAGATTCTAAAGAAGTGGGATCAATGTAAACCTCGTTCCTGATAATGAAGCGAGGCTAAATGGGAGCGAACACTAGTGCTGATGTAAACAGTTTTCTGGTTTTGTTGATTGTAGTTGGAGTTCGGGGAAAATGGCACATTTTGGCTCCTTTTGGAATCGAAACACAAAACCAGACTTTGATGTTCGCCTACGTTTCTGTATTCTGAAGCACACGATAAGCACGGTGACAAAAAGGCATTTTCTGAATCTCTATTTTGATGTCATATCCATAATTGATAAAATCAACGAAGCACAACCAGTAAGACAAAATAAGTACGTGGTATGACCCCGTCTCACAACCTATACACTCGGAGATATACACAAGGACTGGTTGAGAGCTTTTATACTTTTCCACAGAGGCGGAAATTCATTTTCCAGGTAGAGATGGGCAAACACTTAGAAACGAAGTGAAAATATAAAACCCCACCAAGACTCAGATTGTAAACTGACTTTAAGAGTTGTTTGTAAGCAGTTAGAAAGGAAAGATAGCTGTGTTTTTAATATTTGAAAATCAAAGTCATCGTCAAAAACCTCTTGAGACTATTCTGCTCCATGTTGACCTATGTTTCATGAACTGCCTGGTTGAATAGAGATTTTCAAAATAAACAACTTTAATGGCAACGTCAAGTAGCCAAAGGTTGCTACAGAAAAGAATACCGCCCTTAGAAGAGAAGTTGTCTAGAGATAAGGCTCTGGGCTCGGAACTCAGTACTCTGAACTCGGAACTCATAACTCGGAACTCAGAACTCGGAACTAGGAACTCAGAACTCGGAACTCGGAACACGGAACACGGAACACGGAAAAGGCTAGAAGGAAGTTCACCTGATGAAGAGTTATGCTCGAAACGTCGTACATTCATTCGTATACAAAGTCGTTACTTAATTGTATTAATTTTTGCCTGAAACTACAATGTTTTACTGTTAGATGAAAATTTGTAGCTCCTTGAATGCTAATTATCACTTGTCAGCGAAATACCAGGAAGTTTTATGAAACAGTTAGCAGTTGATAAAGAAAATTAAGAAAAATTCAGTCTTCAAACTATTCCCATCGTGATTGTCTATAGTTATTTACATCTCATCTAAGCCATGTATCTTTTCTGAGATTAAATTTGAGATTATTCTTTAAAAATCAGTAAAAATGTTAGGGTTAGCCAAGTCCATATCGATACTGTAGCCCTATCTGATGCAAAACCCTAGATAAGGATGGCGTCGACTGCATTATAAGCTGAGAGTCGTCCATCAACACATATTAGGCATAGTAATTATGTTACATTGAAATATGCATAAAATAGATTTTTGTGAAGCAAGTGTTGAATCCAAATGAAAATTTCAATTTTCTCCTCCGCAGAAGCATTACGTCTGAGTGCTAATTTTTTGACCCCAGCTTTCACCCCTTAGGTCCCAGCAGATCGCCATTCACCATCACTTTTCCGAACCCTACATATGAAGATACTTGAAAATAACCACATCAATTGGTCCGCTTTCAGGTGGCACCTACCTCATAATTAACCTGGTCTATGTCGATGTCCTGGGAAGACATACATAGTTTGTTGAGAATATTTGCAACACACTGACTGTGCGATTTGCAAGTAAAGAGCAAAATGTGCAATGGTGATTGCAGCAAACCTTTCAGGCTGCCTTGCACCAACTTATTCAATACACCTAATTCTTGAAAATTTCAAAATTTGTTGCTTAATTCTGCAGTAAATATCCTGATCAAAACAAATTCTATTTTTTGACTGTTTCGGTGCTTTTTACCAGTTAACTATCACGTAAAGCTAACCAACTTTCCCGTATTTTGTTGAAGACATTGTTCTGCAATTTGCATGAGAAGATCATTTATGTCGCAATTAGCCTCTGCACCAGACCCTCTTCCTTCAGGTTTGGGGTTTGTAGCATAGGCTATCTCGCAATAAGTTTGCTATAGTTTTCTTAATTTCTGGTAATAAGTCTTCTCGTTGTATCTCTAGAGTTGGATGTACTGCGTCAATTATGTCACACCCAAAAGTTTGTATTTTTTGATCCTATCTAATTTTGTCGGCAAATTAGTGACTGAAAATTTTTAGTGACGACCCTGCTGCTACAGAACAATGGAGACGTTACATTGTACATTATTTGAAATATCATAAAAAAATTTTGTACCAAATGTAATGCACTTTCCAACCTGACTGATCATTGGTCAATTGGCAGCATCTTGAAAAAAACATTCTACAACAAAATAATCGATCGGCGTCTGATCCTTATCCTATCACTGCAAGATAGTCGATTTCATGGGCCTTAGGCAAATGCTGCTGTTCTCATTAAAGAGACAAAAAGAAAAATTGTCCATAAGAAAGTAATATCTATGGGCTGGGGAGAGGGAAATTTTCTTGTCGTGGATCGTGAATACTCTTGAACCGTCGTCACCACAGAATGTCATAGTAACGTCATAAATGTTGCTGCAGTTGTCACGGGAATCTTGTATTCAAAATGGTTTTATCGCTGAAATTGGAGTTGTTTGTCGCCAAGCAGTCCAGAGTTCCTTCTCAGTTTGTTCTGTCTATTCAAGACTGGATTTGATCATCTGTGGTACATTTTACCAATCCGTGTTGCGCATTTGCTTCTTTCCTACGATTGCGGTTTGTATCACAATTAAAAGGAATTTGCGGAATGATGTTTTAGGCCGTTATTGGCTGAATCACATCAAACGATTTCAGATAGTTGTTTTCGCGTTGGCTCTGTCAACAGCTAGGGTGTGTTGAATAAATATCATCCTTTGTAGCACTGTTATTTGATCAAGAGAGCAGATAAAGTTGAATTATTGAAAAATATAGCTCGGAGAGCTGCCAGAGACGAAACTTTGCACGAATCTATAGTCTTCCAGAGCTTGTAGAATTGACGAAAACACATTACCGGCACATCGAATTTAGCACTGAGGAACATAAAGCTGAGTTGGTAGGTATGCAAATGCATTCGGATGGCCTAACTTTACGCTATCTTGACTTGGTATGTTTTGTGCGACAGTCAAAAGATAGATTTTTGTAGAACTAATTCATTAAAAATAGTTTTGTTGTTGGAATGAAGCCTTTGCCTGGTCTTATAGCTTCAAAAATACAAAATTTAACCAAATACTACCAGGGAGAATCATATTCTGCCGAATGCTAGATCATAAATGTACACACCAGGTTTCTCAGCTAGCAATCACTTTATTTAGCATTTACCAGTTTACCAAATGCTATTTATATATTTCATTTTTATATATTTTATATATGGTATCTAAGTTTGCTTCATTGACATCTGAATGCATGTATAAACTAAGTCATGTTAGGAAACAGACTAAACTACTCTTTGCTCTGGGTTTTCGACACCTCTGCTGCATGGTTTTTCAATAGGCAAGCCATTATATGTCAACCACAGACCAAGGGACACACATCAGCTGCATTTTTCTTAACCTTCATCTTCAAGAATTTGAAGATATTTGTAGAAGATCCAATTCAAGCCATTGTGTTAATTGTTAATGTCTAGATCAAGAATAAATCACAAAATTCAAGTTCCTATTGTACTTCAACATTAGGATAAAATTCAGGAACAAAGATAATTTTAATTCACTCAAATAAATTAAATTAAATGAATTAATTCAAAACATTTTTTTGATAAAAACCTTTTTTCTGATAAGCTAATTGCTCACTAGATATTTGAGTGTGGGGTTTAGTACATTTTGGAAACCAAGTAGAATAAATGAACAAAAGTCTTGTGTACTTTGACAATGATAAGTTCAATTTGTGGCGCTCAGAGATTTTATCATTCTATTTATCCTTTTTTGTTTCACAAGCTCTGAGAGGTAAGCATTCTATTTAAGTGATGTATGCAACAAAGTTTGGTAACTGGTAGCCTTGAGAGAAAAGCCATTCTTATACTCTGCAGACTGTTCATTTTTAAACATGGCTACTTGCAAAACCTTAACCAAAGGTGTTTTCAATCAGCATCAGCTGATATCAAAGACTTTATTTATCTCTATAACTAAACCAAATATGTATTATCATGTTACTCTTTAAAACATATGAAACAACAGGAGTTCTGTTATACCTTGGTATGATAAACAACATAACTGACATTATGATCCCTATGCACATTCGATGATCATTCAGTGCATAATAAGGATAATGCCAATAGCAAGCATCTTTTTTAATATTTGTGATTGCATCAGTTTATTGATACAGCTGTGCAAGCTGATTCATAGCAGATGATAATTAGATATTGTTAACAATGAAAAATATCTTTGTTGTTTTTTGTATCAAACTTTTGTTTTATGTTACAGAATATGCCTCTTCAGCTGAACAAAGATTTGTTGCACAAAGGAGTCTACAAGTCAGACAAGACTTTCCCAATTAAGGTTAAACTCCTAGACAACACAGTTATCAATCTTAACCTTCCATACAAGGCAAGAGGGAGAGAATGTCTGGAAAAAATTGCACAATCTTTGGGTCTAGAAGAGGTAAATAAAACTTGAATTTTTAATGTATATACCTTTAATTCTCTTTTTAGCCCTCCTCTCTTATTAGCTCCCCCTTTTCAGAAGGAAAAATTTAATTAGCCCCGCTCTCAATTTAGCCCTTTCCCCAAATCTTCACTGATGCTGAAATAAGTAAACTTGACAAAAAACAGATTTTCATTTCATTCATTGGTCATTCAATTCTACGCATTAAATCAAAATTCACATCATGTCTCTAGAATTAAAAATTATTGACGATGACGATGACAATATTATTGATATAGAAGGCTGCTTTGATGTTTTTTATTTCGTAAATAACAAAAAATTTCACCACACTACAAATGGTTTTTTATTACGAAATATTTATTAAGCCCCCTCTCTCAATTTAGCCCCCCTCTCTTATAAGCCCCCTCTCTAATAAGCCCCCCTTTGAAGTGCTGAAAAACAATAAGCCCCTCGGGGGCTAAAAAGAGCATTTACGGTATGTTAGTATGTTTACTACCAATAGGCCTATTGGCCAAAACAATGAAATCGTAAAGCCAGCCTAGTAATCACAAGAAATATCTATTCTCACTCTTTATTTCCTCACACGACCTATCCTTTCTCACTTTTCTCATTCTCACCTAAAAAATGTGATTAAGTTTATTCTCAGATTTAATTATCATCTAAAATTCTGTTTAATGTGCTCATTATATTGCTATTAGCAGTTAATACCACTGTGACACATTCTATAAATTGGTAATATAATCTGTGTGAAAAGTAGTTTGTTTTAAAATTGTGCCTTAATTTGATAATGGCTGGCTATTTAATTATGTCAGTAAATCTCTCTAGTTTAATACCAAAACAGTTCCAAAAGCATTTTAGTAGTTATATGAAAACATTTTTATGTTAAAATTTGTTAAAAGATGTCATTTAGTTTTTCAAATGAAAAAGGTACCATTCTAATTAAATAAGCTAAATTACTTAGTTGCTTTCTACTTACTCCTACTCGTGCATGGCTCTTTTTTAATGTTTAGGCATGAAAAGATGTTAAAATGTCTTTTATTTATATATATTATTGTTTTCAAAATATTTTCCAAATGTTTTATCATCAGGTACTGGCACTAGACTACAGAAGGATAAAGCTAGAATCATTTGTCAATGTATCAACATAAAGTTTTTAAATCCAGATGAAGATTTTCATCCTCTTGGATGTGTGAAAATGGGTAGATGAAATTTAGGTGTAAACTTCTGTGTTGGGAATAACAATTTTGTTATTCGAAATAAAGCTTTGAAAATAATTCAGTTCTTAGGTTTATCATTGTCACCTTTTAATTTTTCTGTAGTTGAACTACTTTGGCCTACAATATACAAACAAGAAGCAACAGATGAGATGGATTGAGATGAACAAAGGTGTTAAGAAACAGCTTGATAGAAATGGGTACAATAGTGGAAAAGAAGCAATGCTTGGTTTCAGAATTCAGTTTTTTGCTACAGATTGCCGTAATTTGCACCAGGAGATAACAAGGTAGGAAATTTCCATGAATTATTTTTCATGAATTTTGATCTTCAGGCCTTGCATCTCAAAGCATAAATAGTGAAAATGTATCAAAATGTTTATTAGATTTTTTGTAAGATAAATTAGTCTGGTTATTAAGCATGAAAGATACCTTATGTCTTAAATTGGTTGCCTTTTAATTCAAATATTGTGCTCCATAATATGAGATTTACTAATGTTTGAGCCACTGAGTCATGAGTCTTGAGTCACAATGAGTTGCAATGAGTCGATTAGACTCTTAAGACAATTTCCTATGCTGAATAAAAATATGACATTCAAATTTGAATTTTTGTTTGAAACCATAAAAAAGGACAAGCACAGCTTGTCAAAAACTAAGAAAAGACAGTGTGATACCAACCTCAACCAGATCACACTGGGTCCTCTCACATAATCTTATGTCGTTAGGAGATTTGGAATCCAGTTTGTTGTTAGTATGCCCAACAAGAAAGAGTCGTGCGTCCTTATAGATATACTATACTGATTTATGTATTATTAAAAGCATGAATATATAGTGTCTTTTATAATTCTGAGTCCTTGCTAGCTCATCAGCCAATCCACCAGGTAGAGCATTTTGGGGCTTACGATTAGTGTGCTCCTTTACACCTGGGTGCCCCCTCACCCCTGTGTGAAGAGATGATGCCAGCAAAGGTGGATTATTGAATTGTAGCGTTGTATAGAAAAGAACAGGATATCCACGTCCATGTGTATCCAGTTTATTCATGTAGCCTCGCTATAGAGGTAAATATATCAAATAACAAATAACAGTGCTACAAAAGATGATATTTAGGCAACCTCTCATAATATTTGTAACCTTTGAAGTCTATTCTACCATTAATGATGAAAACTGTTCATTTTATAGCACTATTTTATTTGTCCTTACATGTTACACTGTTAACATCGCTTGTGACATGCCTGTCTTATTCTTCTTTTCCAATTCCAAACACCATTTCCCAAAATGATGTTTTCACTCCCTTTTCAGGTATTTGTACTACCTTCAGCTGAAGTCATTAGTGATAGAAGAAGTGCTGAAATGTAGAGATGATGTCTCATTTAGACTTGCTGCATTAGCTATTCAAGGTTTGCCCTTTTAGCAAAATTTTTATCTAAGATTGTTAGGAGATATTGCATAAAATAATTCAGCCAAGTTATGTGAGAAATGGTGATGTAGCTTGTGTTTTATCCAAATTAAGATTTTTTGTCATAAGAATGAAACTTTTTTACAATTTAATGGTATTTAAGAAGTTTTCCCTTTCAGGATAGCTGATTTAGTATTTACTGTCTTTTTTAAAGACTTCAAAAAATTAACCAGTAGTAAGGAAAAGGAATTAACCTTACTAATATGAGAAGTAGTGGTATGCTAGAATGTTAGCTTTCGAATAGGTTAATTGACTTTTCAATACTGCAAACAGTTTTTCCTTGGTAAAAATATTAAGACTTGTTTTAAAAAAAGCAACATTCTTCAGAGTATAAAACATCAGAACATAGTTTGAAAACTCTAGGCTAGGAATATATTTAGCCAGTTTTGGTGAAAATAGGCCAACAAAAAATGTGAGCACATTGTGAGACAATAGAGCACTTAGCCTTTAGGTTTAGTTCTAACAAGCTTTGCTATAAACTAATTCAGTTGTAGGAACTTTTAATGAAATGATTAATGATAAAAATGGCTATTTGCTTCTATTTAGCTGAGTTTGGTGATCATGATCAAGAGAAGCATACACTAGATTTCATTGAGGATTTTGTCCTGCTGCCTCAGGTGATTACCATATTGTATTCTCAAAATATTTATTTATTCTTGCCAAAATTGTTGTACTAAAGATCATTTTACAGAAGTATTTTGCTACCAAAAGAAAACTTATTGCCCTGTTTACCTGACTAAATTTCTTCAATTCGATGCACAGGTATATAAGTTCTTGAAGGATGAGGGGGGGATGTCGAATGTCCCCCAATTTTTTTCAAAAATATCTGTCACTTTACATTCCTTTGCATGCCCATATAAGTAACATATGGTCATTTTCTTCCATAGAGGATTGCAACTAATTATTCTCCCCAGGAAATCAATGAGAAGGTATGTACTCACCTCTTTTCAACACTGGCAAATTAGTCTCATAGATTCCAACTTTCTAGCAGAAGTCTGACAGTATTTACTCCTCTTTTGAATAGCCTGCCCTAGACGATCCTCTGTGATAATGGAAGCAAATGTGACTAAGATCTGGTTTGGATACATGATGCCTGTTTTCAAGATCTGTTCTCGCTTGAAATCTGCTTCCCCTAATATGAACCTGCTTTGTTTCATCAAACACATACTATACTTTATTACTAATAATAATTTTATCATATGCGAATTTTTATACAGGGGTAACTTATCAACATGTCAAGCATGCTGTTATCATTAGGGTTCTAATCAGCTATAAAATTTGATGTTAGGATGAAAGGGAATGTATTTAAAAATTACACTGCTTTCTTTATGTTGTGGTTTCCAGAGGTCTACTGTATAACTAACTATACATGCAGTTTTACCTTACTGATAAAAATTTTCCTTCTTTACCTTCCTTGTGGAATTTAAACCATTACAGGCTTGATTGCCCTTTTTTCAAGATCACAATCAGCTAAATGGAATTTAAACTAAAAAAAATATTCAAAAAATTTTATCTAAAAATTGAAAATGAATTGTATATTTTGTCTTCCTAGATCATGCATTTACATCAGAAAAACAGGTGAGCAATAGTTCTGAATATATTTAGCACTCTTCACAATGTAATTTTCACTTCGAATTTCCAATCATTGGTTTTTTAGAACAGTAGGTAGAGACTGCTGTTAGAGTTTATATTCAGCTCAAGTTAAATCTTTTACATCAGTTTGTCATAATAATTCCAGCATGCATTTGCATAATGGTTTGACCAAATGGCAGTTTTGCCATACTCGGCTACAGTGTCTCGCAGTACATTAAATCTAGCTGCAGCATATGGGAACTCTGTTGCTAAAGTTGTGTTTTATATACTGGAACGCCATTAGAGCAAAAATTAGCGAGGATTTTGGGCAACTATTCTGCAAAAGATAAAATATCTCAAAGCCTTAGATTCTTTGTTTTCTACGATTCCTTTACTGATTTTCGTCCACCGATCTAATCATTGGCTAGGTACTGCGATAGCCATAGTCAGAGAAGGGCATAGGGAAGTGACTTCCCTGTATGATACACAAATGAGGAGATTTTGCCATCAAGGGGTGCTTCGTCGGCAAATTTCCAAACGTATCTAGAAATAAATGTTGGCTTATCCCCTGTGACCATAGCTTGTGACGATCTTGCTGCCATTGTTTTTTCCTAACTTAAACTGTATAGAAACAATGCCTAGCCATGTATGGACATTTTAGCTCATTTTCTTTTTTATACAGTTGCCTTATATTCGTAAATCTTGGAGTTGCAATTAGAACCGCTCTGTTCTACACACTAAAGCATTTTCATTTTAATGTTGTTTGTAATCGAGTGTAAGATGATTTCCTATTGTTCAGAACTCCTGGTAGAAAACCAACTCCTGATTCTTAAACATTTTTGTCGTTCCATTCTTGCAAGGCAAACCTTTACTGTTCACAGCTTCTTCATAAAGTGGTTGGCTTTTTCCATTATCAATTTTTGGCAAAATTTATAATGATGAAAATATCGCCTTGTATATAACAACCTATCATTAGAAGCTTATTTTTAGAACTGTGAGAATTGTTAGACGTTTCAAGATTAGCTTAACGCCATGTAAAAAATATTCCATGACTGAAAAAATAATCTATTTCTTTATTTCACAGTGGGATGTCTCCTGCATCCGCTGAGCTGAATTACATTTTGCTGTGTCAACAGATCGAAGGTTATGGTGAAGAGGTTTTCACGGCAAAGGTTGGTCATGTTTAGAAATATTTAAGATTTTCGTGGTTTTAAACGCGAAAGAATCGAGTGTGCTTTGGTATCTATTTTAGGGGTTTTAAGAAAGTGTGATTATCAGGGATCGGTCTTGATACTTATTATATCACGGAGTTTAGCTGATGCGAAAGTTTTCACAACGATAGCTCTAAATTTCGACAATCTAGGTCATTCGATTACAGGAGTGCTAACAACTGTTCGGAAGTTGACTCACAAGGTCTAAGGAACACTATGATACCGATAATAGAAAATTCAATGAAGGTAACTGAACTGATTGAAGTGGAGTACTGTCGAAATGATTTCAAAGTAAGGGGTCACATTTAGGATGAGAAATACACCGTATAGAAGTATTTTTCAAGGTCTAATTGTAGTTGTTTATAGTCATTCTCTTCAAATCATATCAAACCGGGGATTCGCATCAACTAGATGGTTCAGGCCTAAACTTTAGGAATATTTTCGACAACGTATATAAAAGATGGATCAAAACAAAATAGGTGATGTTTGAGAAAGGTTTGAAAAATTATATAACGTGTTTCAAGCAAGAGATATAATTTCAAGTAGATCTTTTTCTCGTGGATATGTCCACACTGTTTGGTATTACGGGGCTAAGCGAATTGTAACAAGCTGTTATGAATTTATTGATGCTTGCAAAAACCAAACTGGAAAAGATGTAGATAAACTTGGAGGGAGTGGGAATATTTTTCCAAATTTATCAGTAGATGAATAAGTTTGTTATTGACACAATAGTATTTGTAAACTTGAGACGTATTAAAATATTCAAGATATAGTTACGAAGCTTTCATTCTTGAAACGTCTGTTTCTTAATGCAAATTGGGGTTTTTAGAGGAGCGATAAAGTAAGCTTGTGGTATTTAAAACTTACTCCCAGTGATCTGTATATGGACTTTGATTTCTTATTTTGTATTTGCAGGACAAAGACGGCACTCGTCTTGAAATTATTGCCTCGTTCCTTGGAATCAAAATAAAGTCTTCTCTCAAATTACATCCAGAGTATTTCAAGTATGTTTATAGCACCTTACTTTGTGTTTAATTTCTCATAGAAAACAAGCAATATGAAATTTTTCTTGAGAGCCTTCTTCTATTTTGTAGCAACGCATCCCTGTCTGCGCAGGTATAGCAAAACAGTGTTTTATGAATTGAAGCCTACGTTTTCGATTGACCTGTTGCCAGATATAGATACTGCAATTAATTGTCTTTTAGTCAATTAAACATTAGAAAATCTTTTCGCGGCCCCAAATACTTTCTTTTTCTGTAAGGTGGTTTTTTCAATATAACCAAAATCTCATGTTTACTTGCAGATGGCAAGAAGTTGCGAACATGGCTTTCAATAGACAGTACTTCTGTATTGAACGAATGAACGCCGGAGAAACAGTTCAGTTTGAAACTGTGAGCATTTCTAAAACTTTTTCTCGTGTTTGTCCCATGCAAATACTGATCGTATCAATCATTTTGGCCCTGGTTACGCCCCATACCCGTTGTGACAATGGCCCATGCAAATGCTTGAATACTTGAATAACGATAATCGTTAGCCTCGCGAATAGCCATCCATGAAGCCACGACCAATCATGCTATTTCCCTACCCATTTAACTCTATTAACACCTGATTAGAAATCACGCAGATCTGTTTTTAATAGGATTTTCTTGTGCTTATTGACAAAACCCGCTTAGTATTTCCCTCTCTAAAAAGCCACTTCCGTAGTAAGTTCCTTTCCTAGAGTAAAAATCTGGCTTATAAGAAGCACCACAATTTCTATTCTAAATCATTCTCGATTTGAAGCTACAAATTAGGCTGCAGATTTTGTAAACGATGTTTTATATTTTGAGTTATTGTATACAGATATTTATGTTTCTGCCAATTCCAATTACCTGTAACGTAAACCAATATCTGATTATCAACTCTGACTTAGCTTTCCTTCAAATGAGTTACCACAAAATCGTTAATTGATGACGTGTTGATAGTATTTACAATAGGAGTGGAGGACCCATGTTTTTTTTGTTTAATCATAAATCCTGACACGAACATAATTAGCAATCCTCATTGTAATCTGTTTCCTGAAATCTTTTACTTGGCAAAATCTCCAGTCACGAAGATTAGCTTTTACCTAAAAAGACATGGGGCCCACGACCAGAATGGACACCTAAGTTATTTAATATCCATGTTTTTAAGACTTTGCTCAAGTTAACCTTGCTTTCAAAAGCTTCAAAACTTTTCTCACTGAAGCATATAATCCAACTTTCCATAGTTGACGAGAAAATTATCATTTTATACATTTGAAAGTTTATGAATGCTATTCTGCTCAACATGCCCTAAACCATTGGATGCGACCTTATTGTAGTCCGTAGATATGGGGCTTGATTCAGTTTCATCTATTACGCCACTGGCCAATTCAAATTCATATTTATTGCAAGATAACATTGTCATTGCTTAAGTTTCGTTCAATGTCTAATTTTTTCTTTTAATATAATATTAAATCTAATGCATACTAAAAGTATCTGAAATTCTTGAAAGTAATTGTTTATGACTCTGTCAATTTCTTCTAAGCCTTTCAGGATCTTAACATTAAATTTGGTATTTTGTCGAGAAGAAGCTGATTATCTCAAGGATAAAAGCATTGAAATAGTTTATTAGTCAATAAGAAATGAACATAGGCAAAATATACATAAGCTATTTTGGAGAAGCTAGACTCTTTGCTAGTAATGTCGCTAAAGATATTTTGGTCACAAGACCTTGTATTTTAAAGCTGTTTTAGCATTCAGTTAAAGCATTACAAAATCTTTGGATTCTCCTGGGTTGTCTTTCTGCTTTTTAGCAACGTATCAATTCTCCATATACTTTCATTTAGATTTATGGCAGCTGTATTTCCTCTTATGTTTTAGGCAGACACCGAATCTGCGAAGTTCATTTGGCGCCAATGCATAGCTCAACATCAGTTTTTTAGATTGCAGCATAGTACTGTAGAGAGCCCGAATTTCAGGTAAGTTAAAAGCCTTTACAAGATATCTTGTTAACAAAAGAACGCTGCTACCTTGTATAATGCCAATTGGCAACACATTTCGGATCAAGAAGCCTTGAAAAGAATCGTAACAGCATACGAATGTTGTCAGCATGTCAGAGGTTGTTAATAAGATTAACTGTCAGTGAATTTTGTTTTTTGTAAACTCCAGTCATTTTTTGTATTATGTTTAATTCTGACTTCGCCAATCAGTAAATATGCCAGCTATCTTTTCCATGGAATAACAGAGAGAGTGCTCTAGGGGATCACCGATAATTATGACATGACTTCATTTCGTTTTCTTAAAAATTGATGTTCTAGACCGAGGGGCAATTCACACTTGAAAATAGCGTACGAGATTTTCCCTAAAACAAAAGGATTTCTGGGAATTTTCTGATAAAACAATAGGATTTTCACTAAAGGTGTACAAGATTTTCTTGGAGTGATTTGCCTCTCGTTTTAGACAATATAATTTAGTCTAAAATTTCGTCCCATTACTTGCATCTTGCATATTACATCTTCAAAAATGTCTTTGGCAAGAGTATAAGAGTATCCATTTTTGGTAAAATCAACCAATTATTCTCTCTGACCACTGATCGTTATGCCAATGATGGGTTTTTTATTTTAATTAGAACCCAACACGAATTGATGACTGATGTTAAGCTCCAAAATAGGTAAGGCAGTTACGGAATATTATCCTAATGTGTTGTGGAAGTATTTTCTGTCATTTTTCAAAAATTGCCATCTTTTCTTCCATAAACCTAACTTATATAAAGGAATAGATAATATATTCATCAACGGAGATACAATTCAACGATTTACTTTTTAACTTTTCTAAAAGGAATTATTGCCGACCTTTTGCAGTAATGCACCGTCACCCTTTTACCAGAATGGGACTGCTTTTCTTTTAAAATATTTAGAGGAATATTAGACCCAACGACTATCATATGCTCTGTTCGCCTAATCTTCCATCTTGCTATATTTTTCTCGTCTTTAATCATATGTTGTGTTTGTTATGTTGTCTTCCAGTCGTTGCTTTATTACGTTGTATTCTTATTGGTACTTCCTATTTTACATTCCATTTTCTATTCTCTCACTTTTCTTGTTGCAGTACCCTGTTTTCCCATGTTTTCTTCTATCTTTTCCATCTTCAGAATCTTCAATGCTTTTGTTCCTTTTCTGCATTTTTTCAGTCCCATTTCCTGTTATCACGATTAACTTCTCGTAGAAGTCAAGAAGATTTGCCTTTTCAAAGAAGAGTAACATTGACCCGCAAAGAAGGGAGAGAGCGAGTATGTTGTGGCAGATTTCATATTCTTTTTCAATTGGGTGTTGATATGTGTTTATATGTGTTATCAAGATTAACTGATTTTTGCCAGTTGACTTACGAAAAAATATTCTTTTGGGAGAGGCGTCAAGAAAACGACCATTATGAGAAAGCTACTCGTTAGATACTTTTATCTTTGTCATCTTCTTTTGCCTGGGAAGTTCAGAGTAGAAAGTTCAGAGGTTTCAAAGATAAGACTATGCTAGATTCTGTAGTTATACATTAATTTACAAAATAGCTTGAATTTATCTTAAAGATCTCCACTTATAATGTATGTCGAATTTTATATTCGATGATTTTTCTATCATTAATATAACGATATATCCAAACATTTGGTTAATTCCGACCTTGTTCACTTTCAGCGTCAAAGAGAGAGAGAAGATGGTTTGTTTACGTTGCTCATTCCTGTTTTCTGTCCTTACCAGGCTTTTTACCAGAATTTTTGATTACCAGGCTAAGCAGGACGTATCGATATGGGGCCGCTTGCTATAGATTTATTCCTATTCGGAAAAATTCAAACTTGCATTGAAGTGACAAAAAATCGACTTTTTAAGCCACGATTTATAAAGCAGTTACTGGATTTTAAAGCGAAGGGTTGGATAAGCTATTATGTTATTGCAACTTTGATTTTCGAAAAGTTTATTTAGATTTCCATTATTTATTGCCCTAAAGCTTTCAAAATATCTCCAAAGTTTTGATTAGCTAAGTTTGGTTTAGAAGTTGTTTCAAAACCAGCTCCATCGATAAACGCGTCTTTTCGTGATGCAGTTTGATTTTATGTGGAATTATGCTTTTGGGTTGGCTGCTTTGGTTCGAAATATTTTTGAAAAGAAACGGAAGCTTGCTGCCATTGACTCTCTGTTTACTGTTTTCTAATCTACACAGAGGTCACAAGTGAACAGAGTCACATTATCCCTACATATTCCTTGTTTCGAATAAATCGATTTAATGCTGAGAGCCCTTTGGCGTGTTATTCCTAGTTGCTAGACTATTATGGAACGACAATGTATCAAAGATTTACCATGCTATCGTTATCCGATGATTTCTATTATTCAGAAATAATTGTTAATAAAAATATGTTATGAATAACCCCTCATAGACTATTTTCCAACCTTAAGCCTCATTTTTGGAAGACCCGCTCTTGAAGAATCACGTAAATTTTGATATGATACATTTATTGACAAAATAAAAATGGTAAAATTGTTTTCACGGCTGGGTTTTCTAAACCACCTCTCAGTTAAACCAATATTCTGGGATTCCTTTTCAAATATCTGAGTGGGATCTTTTTGTGTGCATTTTCCTGTGCGTAAAAGGAATTGTTTCTGTTGCTCTTTTTAAACGATTGTATTTTTTATCCATCTCATTGGTTGCCTTTTAGAACCAGTTGTGAATGTTGTTGGCATCTCGAATGCTGCTTTCAACGATCTTGACAATGATGGTATTGATGGAACAACACCTCAGGTTAACAGTATTACCCAGAATGCTTTGTAAGTATTTGATGTTGTGTACCGTGCTATCGACTTTGAGTATATCTTTTGAATTTACTGGGGGAGGGGGTGGAAGAGAAAGCCTGCACTCATGAGGCCTATTTCTTTATTGCTTTCACTTTGACCATTTCCCATGACAAGTTGGTCGCAAACAGAGAATAGAGAAAACGTTTAAGGAAACGAACATTCATTGGAAATATGTCGCAACATGTGATGATGTAAACTAATATACTTTTTGCTCCTGTTATTCCATTTGCAGATGATATTAAGGTAAAAGCTAAATGTAAACGATTCCCGTGTACGATTGGCTAGTTTAGGAAATAGTTATTGGATGCTTTCTCTGAGCTAGCAGCATGACCAATTAAGGATGACCAGTTCCTTTTATTAGAAAAAAAATTTCTAGGAAGACCGCCAACTACATGGATAAAATTGATAGAAAAAGATTTATCACTGATCAACATACAACGAAACATTGAGTCAAATCCTGCTGAAAAAACATTGAAAGTCTTGCAAGAGATAACAGCAAACACAGAGAACTGGAGACGAATTGTTAAAGACATGATGGCGGAAAACCGCTGACCATGTATTTTAGTTAGTAGTTCATTTATTGCTGCCTGTACTGCCTCCAGTGTTGCCAATCGTTGTCTACGAAGAGGGTAGAGGCGTTGGTCTACGTCGGGGTGGAACCTGGATTTAGTCGAAACAGAGTCACCACTGTAGTCAAAAACAATTTAGCCACTCATAGAACTCAGTAGACAAAACGTCCTAGACAATCTTGCTTAGTTTTGTAGCAGATGAACAACTTAGCGACCGCAGCAGCGAATTCAGCTTGAATTTCTAGAACAGCAACGAAATTTACTCACAAACGAATGCTTTCAATATCTTCCTATTGTTATAGCCAATTATCGGATACCGGTATTTCTTTTTTCTTGCATGTATTCTGTCAAATCAGCTTGTTGCCATTCTTTAGTTGGATTAAGGCAATCTCGCTGAAAGCTTTTATTGTTATTCCAGCCTGTCAGTTAGAAGTACTGCGTCAAGTGGATACGACAGCTCCGAGTCCGGATCCGGATCAGAAGCAGGGAGCATTGGAAGGCTGTCGGGCGGTCGGTATGATATGACAGGCCAAGGGGCAAAGTTGATGGGAAGCAGTGCAACGTCACCTATTCTCAGGAGGCATCAAAAGGAGACACGTGACTTTTTGGTGAGGGTGTTTACCAGAAAAGTTCCTTATTTAGAAAACAGATGATTCCAGCAGAGAATTTTAAGTACAAAGTAAATATAGTCTAAATCCATGATGGCTTGATGTTGCAAGCTAGTTAAAAATTAAATAGCTTCTGTTTATTGACAGTGTTTAGTTTCTGTTGGATCTCCATTCCAACATCTAAACTGTCTGCATTTCATTAAAGATATTCACTATAAATAGCGAATAAATTTATTCACAATTAGCTCTTTTTTATCCATATCATTATTTTACAATCTAATGTCCTTAGTTATTAGGAGTCAACATGATTAGTCAAGAAAATTTGCAAAAGAATCTACATAAGCACGAAAAAACCGCTACTGTGTAGACAGGAGGAGTTCGTTTTCACCTTAGGACTCCATTGGTAACATTCTTAATAGGCAAGCGGCACTGATTGGTCAACCTCAACAGTCATGTGCTCGTGTTTCTGATTGGCCTATTTCGATCCACAACTGGGTATATATATTTCCTAGCGTAGAGTTCTCGATCTATGTTCTGACGTTTTAAACTCTGAAGAGTGTCAGACGAAAAGCTTTTGTTTACTAAATGTTTTCTTTTTCCAAAGTCATTTTCAAGTTTTGTATCACCAAAAGATTGTTAACATTTGTAAAACGTAGTGAAAGCCATTGCATTACCAGTAATTGACGACTGCAGTCCTTTTTATGGCAACGCCGCCAAGCGTTTCTTATCAAGACTACAAAAATCCTAGAACTTTGCTACTTGTATTGTCACTGGGGCTAGAAAATATGACCATGTTTCCCCAGCCTTGTAAGATTGGACTAATTACCACTGAACGAAAGACGTTTTGAGCATCGACTCAATTACATGCACAAATAAGTTCATAGTGCTGCTCAAGCCTACTTGAGCCACTGCTTAACAAGAAATGATGAATTTCATTCCAACAACACAAGAAACGTTTTCCATTGACATTACCACGAGCTATTACAAACAGCGGTCAGCGAATGTTTCTATGCAAAGGTAGTATGGACTGCAACAGATGAGCAAAACTGCCACAAATATAAAGTTGCTGTCCCAAGCCACATTAGAGTATCTTTTAACAATAACACTTTATTTTGAATGGACAAAAGTCATCAAAAATATGATTTACTTCTAGACAGCGTGCATTTTATATAAAGCCTTAAATGTGGTTGCACCTTCCTACATGCAGTCCATGTTTCACAAATTGTCAGATTCTTGCAATCTGACCTTACGTAATACTAGTACTGATCTCAGAATTCCACTGAGCAAAAACTCAACTGGGCAGTGGAGATTTTTGTATCGAGGAGTAACTGTTTGGAACCAGTTAAGCCATTAAATAAAGACTGCTCCTTCGCTGGCCACCTTCAAAGCTAGACTAAAAATGTTGTGGAAGGATGAACGAGGTCGATAATCTATTTAGCCCATGCTTTTAACCACTGAGTCCCTTTCTTTTTATTTACTTTTCTTTTATTCTTCTATACTAGATCTCCAAATTAATTTGTAATTAGGCCACTTGTGTTTTAAGCATGGCATATTTTAAAACAGTTATTTAAAATTACTGAATGTATTTACCTTGTCGAAATATGTCAAAAGAATGAATTAAAATGAATAGAATGAAATGATATCTTACTTAGGCCTATATTTTATTTATTGCTTTGGTTTTTACCAATAACACTTTGTACTTTTGTGAATTTTTATTGCACAATGAAAGACCATGAAATTGGATTTGGGCTGAAATTGGATGTATGTATTATGCTAATGATCTGTTACTCAATTGATTCATAGTTGAAGCAGTTGGAAAATGTCATTGCCGAGGACCAAGTTTATGTTGAATTTGAACAAGTCTTCTCGAAAAAATTAGTAAGTACTTTTATCCGAAGATTGTGATTTTTAAAATCTACCTCCAATTGTACTATTTTGTGCTGCATTGTATTGTTTGCGTGAAGTTCTATTAATTTGCGTTGAATTGTTCTGTTATATATTCCCCGCTGTGTTGCTATGTGTCATAATGTGTGAAATAACATTGTTTTTTTACCATATTTTAGAACTGCAATCTGACAACTGCATCTTTGGTCGCAAACGCAGAACGGAACAGGAACCGAGAGGTTTTACCATATGAAGTAAGTCTTGAGACATTTTTTCATTTTGCTTTTTGTTTGAGTTTGTAATATCGTAATACTGTGATGTTGCCAAGAACAGGGTCCCCTAGCTATTGTGCTCAAAAGGGTGCTCTGATTTGCCGACAAACTAAGGGAGCCTTCTTTTATTTGCAGAGAGCTCAAAAAATTTATCGACGAACGCCAAAAAACTCTTGTTAGCCAAAAACCACTGGGTTATGTTTTGTTGTATTTTGCCTAACTACTAATGGCATTATTTCTGAATTATCCGTTGTAGCAATTTTTATGAGATTCAGGTCTGGGTTATTTTTAGCTTCGTGTTATCATTGAAAAATTTGATATTTTATCTTCTATTTAGGAAAACAGGGTGATCTTAGATGTCAATAATAATCGAGAAAACAATGATTATATTAATGCAAGTACTATCAAAGTAAGTACGCTGTAAGCTTTCTCGAAAGCTATAAATCTTATTAGAAATACACGCAATACCTTGTGCAGCTTTTTGCCCAGCATAATGTCGTTTCCAATCTTTTGTATCATTTTAAAACAAAATATGAAAATCTCTGTTTGACAATTAGTTTGTGGGTCGACCCCAGTCCTGGAAGAATTTTGCTGGAAGGCTTGCACTACTCTTAGGATTCCAGTTCTCAGAATAATAAATTATTCCTGCTCACAAAACTGCCATCCTCGACATAGTGTTGGTAAAACATGAGTGCAGCTGCTAGTATCTACTCACTTTTTTGATGAGCCTTGAGTAAAAATTGCACTTTGCTCCTCTAATTAGATATTTTAATATGCTTCTGTATACTAAAGCTTGACATTCTTTGAATGTGAATATGTTCCCAGTGTAGAAAACATTGAATAGTTTAAATTTCTTTTCTTGCTTTCGCACTAGGTCGATGTTGGCAAAAGCCAGTCTGTTTCCTACGTCGCTGCGCAGTCGCCCTTAGAAAGAACGGTCGATGATTTCTGGCAAATGATTTGGGAGCATGGTATCCAGTTATGTGTCATGGTAACCAAAGAGGAGGTACGTGTTTCTCTAGGGCCTTTTTTATACACGAATAAGAAATACCTACCCTTTGGCTTTCAAATACTGGTGAATGAGGATCCGGCTTGCGTGGCATTTTTATTCAGTAGTCGTGTTGTTTTTTCTCCAATCTGCTAAATCTCCTGCAAACACCAGAAAAATTCTACACACTGTTTCCTAATTGCAGAACTACTTGATGAATCTATTGAAAAATATTTAGAAATAGATAAAGTAAAATTGATGTCATGATGATTCGCATATATTTTTCAGGAAGCTAAGAAGAGAAGATGTTTTCGTTATTGGCCTTTCGTGGGAGAGCCACAGTCACAACACGGAATGGTGAGGGATTTTTACACCCCTACACCCCCCAGCCCGCATTATATGACTATAATATAAAATAGATTTAAGATAGATTTAAGATAGATACCCGTACTTGGAACAGATCGGGAAAATATAATATTTCTATTGATCTAGTCATTCCGTCTTTTGTTTAAAAAATGAATTTTGCATCGATTTCTTCTATAAAGGCGGGTTTACACGATCGTTTCTCCTTAAATTTTTTTTCGATATTGGACCGCGATGAACGACAACGATCGTGTAAAAGGCTAAATTGCTGAAAAAAGTTTGATGCTATCTGTCGTTTTTAATCCGCTTAATTGGCGATAATGATCCATCGTTGAAGATTTTATTTTGACTCCGGGTCAAAATAAAATCTCTACCATCATTTTTTTCAAAGGGGCCGACAAATTCTGACGTCATGTCAGCCTCGGGGAGAGAATTTCGAGACTTTTTACTAAGTATTGGGGTGAAGAAAAGATTGGATTCATGCTATGAGAACTAAAATAGTCGGGGAAGGTAGTTAAAACGGGCAGGGGACTATTTTTAGATAAAAAGAGGTTCGGGTTTTACAAGTTTTCTTTGAGAATGGCCCGTCATTAGCTACACATTAAAGGTTTTGAGCAACAGAAATAGAGAACAATCCATCCAATAGACAAAATGCACAAATAAAAAATTATCTGGACCTCGCCGGGACCATAAAAATGTTCTGCGAATATTTCCCTCAATTTTTTCGGTCTAAACTTTAGGCTTATTACCCTTTAGTCTAGCGGGTAAAGGTTCCAGAAAAGAGCCAGTGTTACTCTCCCTCCATCGCCCATCAATCACGTTGTCATCCAATCATTAAATGTGTAGCTAAGGACGGGCCATGCTCAGAGAAAACTTGTGAAACCCGAACCTCTTTTTATCTAAAAATAGTCCCCTGCCAGTTTAAACTACCTTCCCTGACTATTTTAGTTCTCAGAGCATGAATCCAATCTTTTCTTCACGCGAATACTTAATAAAAAGTCTCGAATTCTCTCCCCGAGGCTGACATGACGTCAGAATTTGTCGGCCCCTTTGAAAAAAAATGATGGTAGAGATTTTATTTTGACCCGGAGTCAAAATAAAATCTTCAACGATGGATCATTATCGCCAATTAAGCGGATTAAAATCGACAGATAGCATCAAACTTTTTTCAGCAATTTAGCCTTTTACACGATCGTTGTCGTTCATCGCGGTCCAATATCGAAAAAAAATTTAAGGAAAAACGATCGTGTAAACCCACCTTAACGGATATAGCGGGTTTCTTTGATTTTTTGGGATAAATTATTCTCATTGTTGTAGCATTTATATAAACTTGAATTGCAGTAGTTTTATAATCAGCTGAAGCGTAAATTTTAAAGTCATTCTTATCTACACATTAAAACGTTTGTTGTACTGTTTTTAGAATGTTGAGTCCTGTTGTGATGTTTCGCTCATACATGAATGAAATTTGTTTTCTTTCATTATATTATTCTGTAATATTAGGGAAATGCTTTTCCTTCTAATGAAATCTAGCATACATTGCATGCAACAACTTTATAATGCGCAAAGAATGTAGGATTACTTTACGATTATGAAATTTTCAAATACTAAATCGCGCACAATGTTTTGTTTAAGTTTCAATTTTTTCTGCAGTACTCTATATCTGTGAAATTTGAGAATACTTCAAAGTCATTCGTCACAAGGGGATTTACCGTAGAGAATTCAAAAACACGAGAGGTCTGTTTTTATTTTAAACTTTTGGCTCACATGTAAACCTGATTTTTAAGCATAATGTACGCCAACACAAATTTTTCGCCAACGTAATCATTTGATCTATTCTTCACATCTAATGCCAAAAAAATTAATCCAAAAATAGGCCTTTTTGAATGTGCGATTTATAATACTAATCTTGTCGCCTTTATTGATGTTTTGTGAGCATTATCCTAATTTGAATGCGTCGTTTATTATCATCGCTTTTTCTTTTGCAAGGTGCTCCAAAAAGATTGATCAAACTTCCTTATTCAATATCTTTTTGGTTAAATTTATTAGTTTTAATTGCCATTGTTCTGCAATCTGCTCGAGTCTCTATATTTTTAAGCGATGAGATTTGATTAATTACAAACTTATCCGGTATTTTCATGGTATATCCTTGTAGTTCAAATCTTTGTGCTATTACGGAGAAAAGATAATTTCAAGGATAAAACGTTTTAGTACAAACATTGTTCTTCTTACCTTGATTTCATGATCCCTAGGTAACATTTTCGACCATTGCCCCCCATCATTTACTGAAATCTTTTGCAGACGAAAGATGTTTATCAAATGCAGTACATGAACTGGCCGGATGCTGGCATACCAGAAGATCCAGCAGAGTTTGTAGGTCAGGGATCCATATTTTGCTATTGCTAAACGGCCTAAATCGCTTGTAAGATAAAATGTCCGGTGCGAAGGTGTTTAGGTTATTTTAATCGAGGTATTCGAGGCTATTTCTGAGGTTTATAGTAGAACTTGGTAGAAAAATTAATGCCAAGTTTTTGGAAAATAGAAGGTATACTGAACGGTTCCAAATGTGCTCTCTTCTATTACTGACCTCTTCCAGGTTTTTATGCAAATTCATGAACTCTCTGACCCCCAACTCATGTTTCCTCCCAAGATCTTGTGAACTCTGGAACGGTCTTCTCTGCTTCCTGCTTCGCAAACTTTTATAACTTTTCTTATTCATAACGAAAATCAACGAACTCAATTTCACCTTCCTAATCCCCCCCCTTCTTTCCTTTATTCCCTCTGCTATACGCTACTGGGTTTATATACTTCTTTCCGGGCGTTTGTTGTTATGCGAAGAGTTTGTGCCATCAGAGCTGTCAGCAGTCATCTAAACAGTTAATCGGGGTTTTTAGCTGAGCCCTATTCCAAAGCCACTCTTGAGTCAGGAATATATGTGGATGCCAAATTTCACAACCTCTAAGATAGGGGGATCTGGAAAAAAGTGGGTGGGTGTTTAATTTCCCATATAGTAATAAACAGGTTGAATGTCTAGCAGTCCCTGTAAATTGGACTCAAGAGGAATATTAACAAGAGACTGGTAGAAAGCCATATTGTATACTTGAAAAAAGGCCTAATTATTGTACAATATAAATAGTCGGTTCTTGATCATATTTCCACCCTTTCTTTCTGTTCTCGATCTGTTTCCTTTCTCTTCGACGTGCTTCGTTGCATATACCTTGCAATTTTTAATGCAGGAGGCTTGGAAGTAATAAGCGGGAAGGGGGGGTATGAAATAAGGATGGCATGAAGGGAGGTTTTTTAAAAGTCAGTAAGGGGGACGAGGAGACATTTATTCCTGATTCAAGAGTAGTCCCTTACTTAAACCCTTTTCCAAGACCAACTTTCCCAGTCGCAATCAACGTAAATAAAGGACGTTTTTTTACGAAATCATTTCTACACCCATCGCAATGTCTTGTAAGAATTAACATAGCATCCATGATCTCGTTCTAGCTAGGAACAAATGCCCAATTATATTTTAGGTACTTTGTACAATTTCTTTACAAATTTGCAAGATTAAGTATAAAGTGTCTACCTCATCAAAATATCAGTATGACTGAGAGGAAAATATTCGCGTTTCAAGAATCTTTTGCAAATTTTTTGTCTTGTAGATTTCTTAGAAGAAGTTCGATCACTCCAGAAGTCATTGAAAGATATGACATCGTCAAAAAGTGATTGTAATCTCTTAGTACATTGCAGCAATGGCGCTGGACGAACTGGTGTTTTCATTCTCTGCGAAACGCTGATTAAACTGATTGAAAATAATCAGGTATTAAGACAATTTTACCTAACCTCGTAATCATGTTGGTGAATCCGTAAATTATTGGGGTCCACAATTAGTTTCAAATCTTTAAACCCAAAACGCCTGCGCCTGTTGTTACCATTGTTTGTTTTTGAAGAGTTGTTTGTGAAATAAACTTTTCAATGCATTTTTATCCTTTGATTTCTACTCATGTTGCCGAAGTTCTCTTTTAGATGATCTTTTAGCTAATCGTTCTTATTATTACCTCCACATATGTTTTTCCGAACTTGAATTTGATTTGAATTTGTTCGTATTTAATTTGTTAATCTCTATCAAGGTATATAAAAGCCTCTCCTTAACCGGCATCGTACGTAGAGTTTCACTAAAAAACTTCTCGTTTGTGATTTGAAGATTTATAAACCAATCAAACCCGCAACCAGTATAATTCATTGATTCTTGTTTAATGCCTCCTATGTTTCCCAGTCTCGGCGGTTACGCCTATCGACACAAAGCTTTCTCTGCTTTTCTTGGACATTAAAGCCCAGAAGCAATATAATTTGTTTCAGTTCGGCACATTTAATCTAAAATTACATGCTCCTCTTTATTCCGATAAGTTCACAACCAGGTAAATTTTTAACATTGGTGAATCGCTTGTTGTAAAGATTTTATGTATCTTTCTGGATTCTCAGGGCAGAGATGATGAATACACCATGATGACGTTTTATTTTTATATGCAATATTTACTAAGGCCTAATTATGACTAACCGGTTGATGATTACTTGACAAATCCGCGTGAGTTACTCCTTACCTCTCCACTGGCCTATGCCTCTAATATCTCTAATATATATTCTTTCTACTGGAGCTCCTTCTCGTCACTGACTACAATTCTTGCTGCAGTACCATATGTGTGTGTTTCCGTATGTATGGCATAATGACCTTTGCACTTACCACGTGCTACTATTCTCTTAATTACTCGCGAGGTATAATACCAAAACTTAACTTCACAACATCGCACAACTGTCCTTCAAAGATGCTATTTTGATTTGTTTTTCTTTTCAGACATTCGACGTGCCTATGATTCTAGCAAGACTTCGAACCCAAAGAATGTACATTGTTGAGACTGTCTCTCAGTATCGGTTTGTTTATCTCGCTGTTATCAATTACCTACAAAGAAACAGATTGATATAATATTTAAAGTTTGTAAATAATGCCTTTAACTCAAATATTTATGCTCTTTCTCACAAAGAATTGTCCCTATTTTTGTCTCTGCTGCTGTGACGATATACAAGAAGCAGAATACGTACAGTTTTTACGGGGGCGAGGACCAAGATAATGCAGGGATGTATGCTATAACATTGTTCAGGCTGAATGTGTCAGGCTTATATTCTTTTTTGAAGAGGTTTAGGTCAGCTCTTTTTTAAGGTTCGTCATCTTATGGTCACGTGTTTTTCTTACAAGAAGGAAGCCATAATCGATTGTCTGAAAAAAATTGTGACAGGATGGGGCCATTATTGTGAAACGGAGTTGGGCTTTCTGTGTAACATGGCCTCGCAAAAAGACTTTTCTTCTCAAAGTAAATAAAATATCTATATGTACCCACGGAATTATCGCAGCCATGAATCTATAGCATGGAAACATCTTCTTTTGTTTTTATATGATGCAAAATATTGTTCGTATATTCAGATGTTCGCCTGTAGAGTAGAATTGAAATTAAATGTAAATATAAAAATTGTACATGATGAAAAACTCACTATACGACGCTAAGGGCTTATTTCCTGGATGCAAAACTTATGTAGGACAAAACTAATTGCCACCCAGATACAGAGTGACGAGAGTGTGACGTTTTTAAATCAGTTAAGATGCTATTTCAACTAAGACACATCTGTCCCCATTTCAGTGGATTTAAAGATTGTTGATAAACGTTTATATTAAGTTATAGTTTTCCAGCTAAGGTATTCTTTGGCGAATGTAATTTGCCTGATGAAAACCCTGACTTCTATTTACCTTTTTGCCAATATAAACAAACGAATTTTGGCTGCGTGGGGGACGCTGTATTAGTAATTACCGATCATCAAGAGCGGATAGTGAGTGAATTTGAAGTAGACTTGGTTTGACAGAAATGGTCGGTTTTATTGAAAGAAAGCCTGTCTACACGAAACGGTTTTGTATTAGTTTATTATTGCTGTAGAAGGAATTTTGCTCCATTGCTGCGCATTCTGGAGCAGAAATAAATGCTTTGGCGCAGAAGGCAAGAATGTTGTAATATTTGTTTAGAAACTTGCTCTGGCTATTTCATGATGGTAGATTATTTGGAAAGGTTTTTCAAAACAATAAGTTCATCGGTACCTGTATTATCTATTTCGTCAGTACTGTTCAGGGGCGTGGTGGGAATCTTCTCTGGCCAGAAAATTCTAGTTTTTGGGGCCTCCATAGAATCCGCAATTGGCATCGTACTCCATGGACTGATAGTCCCAGTATAGAAAATCAAACGTGTTGGCATAGCACCAAGTGTGAACGCGATATCTGCCACGTCCCCCCCCCCCCAGTTCTCGGCAGGATCAATTTGCATTTCGTCTAAATCCGATGAGAAAATGTTGGGGGAGGGGTAATATTTTGGCAACGTACGTTTTGTGATGTAATCCTATGAGTAATGGGCGTTCCCTTCAGGTAAAAATTGCGTTCCTTGTTAGTAAAAGGTGGTTTTCTGGTGCTAAAAGGGGCGTGGTCCAAAATATTTTGTTTTGCCCCCCCCCCCAAGAGCGTAGTGGCTAGCGCCGCCATTGATTACAATGATTACACTTTGTACCAGATCAGGTTTTAGTTATCTAAAACTGATTTGTTTCTCTCGCAACATAAAAAAGTCATCAAAGAGCAGTTAAAATTTGCTGTTTTGGCTTGCTCAGTGACTTGCCTAACATGGTTCTTCAAAACAGAGTTTTAATCGACTAATTCAACAAAATGTCGCTCCCACACTTTTTTGCTTGAAACCATGACTTACTATCAGTTTTTGCAAAAATTATTAAGTATTTTGTGGCTGGAGTTGCCCATTTCTCTAACGGGCTGACAAAGATAGTTGGGGGCACTCCTTCTACGAGATCAGTGGGGACACCCTGTGATGAAATTGAAAACGAGGCCCGTCTCGGTCTGTGTCTCGGTTGGCCTTCTTTGGCAGCTCAATTTTTCCTCAGAAAATAAAAGAGTATCTCAAGTCGGGGTTTGTCATTTAATTAATTGCATTAGAAAGGTCTTCATGACGTATGCAGAGCCATCAAAAGATGTGTTGATTCCTGGAAAATAGACCATCCCATACCCTCACAACTGAGGCAGGTTGTAAGACCGCGGGTTTGCACAAAGTGGAGAAGAATATACCGCAAGGAATGCACTAACATGGCACAAAAACATTTTGGTAGACTAAAGGCAAAAGTAATAGAAAGCAAGCCAATTGTTGCACAAGTTGCGAGGCAGGGAATATCGAGAGCCGGGGCGAGAGTGTCAGCTTTTCAAAAGCAGATCGACGACTTCTTCAAGATTACAGATGTCAAAGAGGCACAATTGACAGTAACAGATTCTGAAAAGAAGTTTCTAGAAGCCCGGAATTTGGCAAGACAGTCAAAAAAAGAGCTTGAGCAATCTGAACAATTACTGCAAGAGGCGAGGAAGAAAGTAGATCGATGCCCACGTGATGACAGTGAAAAATATTTGGCTTGTGTTTCAGAAGAGCGTGCAGTATGGGTAAAAGTTCAGGACATCAAAAAAGCTAATCAAGAGTTTGAACACGGCGAGAGAGAATTTTTTACTGAGTACTCTAATGCAGTTCGAATTTCACATGAAAAAGAGAGGGAACGAGCACAGAAAACGAGATACTGGTCAATAATTGGTTCTATTGCAGGGACAGTTGTTGGTATGCTCCCTTAATCTTTATTTCATGTTCTTTATTTGCTTTTGTTATCCACTTTGCATATTACACCAGTCAACACCCTGGTAGTTGCCAATTCTTACTGTTTTTTATTGAATAACACAATAATGCATGCTTATTGGCAATCATACTGCCCCCTCGCTGTTTGGTGTTTCCACATATCAGTGGTGTACACAGGGAAGAAGCCATAAGGGAGAGGCATTTCAAACAATTCTGTAAAACAGTCAACAGTTTTGTATTAAAAAAGTAATTTTTGTCCTTTGAAAAATGATTTCAACAATAGAGGCAACAATTTGTATTGGAATAATAAAATGTTCAGGCTTTATATATATTAAATTCACTTACAACAAGGCTGGCAGGTCTACAAAATCTGAAGATGTACTAGCACCCCTTTCTCATGACACATCACTAGGAGACATGTTTATAAACAAAAAGTAAATGATAATTTTTCATGTTGCCATGATCATTAATTAAGTGTGGTATTAAGTTTTACTATTAGCATGATATACTAATACTAACACTAATAATGACGTCAATAACAGGCCATTGGCCTGGGTAACAATCTCTTGACTATTTTCAAGGCTGAGCTTTCCTTATCTCAAGGACAGTTTTTAAAAGGTAGCATGGCAGGTAAAAGTAAGACAATTAAAAATTCCTCCTTCTCATTATGATTTCTCTGGGGTGATTATATATAATATAATTTAAATTAGAAACTCTAGATAGACCTGAACCTAGTCTACTTATCAAATTCCTATTTAGAAAGTGATAGTTATATTGACTCAGAAAGGAATATTTATTTTATCTAAGCAAGACTCCACATTTGAAAATTTTTTTGGTCTGAGTTGGTTTGAAAATTAGTTTAACAAGGCAAATTATGGGACATAAGCAAACAAAGTTAATAATCAAACATATTTGATAAATTTTGCTTGTGATATACATAACAATACATTTGATATAAACATACTTCCCCAAGCATTGTTACAGAACGCCCTCATAGTGTTGCTATAGTTTGTGCTGCTAGAGATGTTTCTGTACAAAGCACCAGGCACCTTTTTGTCACAAAACTATAAGACTATGTATCTCCCAAATAATGATCAAGGCAAACTTCTCAAATAGGGTTCTTTGGGTCTTCAATGTTGACGTTTTATAGACTGAAACAAATAAAACAAATTGCATCACCGGATGCAATTGTGAATGACTTGAGAAATGAGATAATGCAAAGGAATATGGAACAAGCAGAGATCCAGAAATCATTTCAAGTAAACACCTTATCATTGATAAATGGACTGGAACAGAAAATTACAGCTGCTGGAAACAAGAATCAGGTTGCTCAATTGGCCCCTCTGGATAATGGTGTTTCAAAAAGCACAGAAGAACTAATTGAAAATTCAAAGACAGAAATAAAAGACTACATAATCAATGCAAATAAACAACTTTTTCAGTTTAACGAGAATTTTAGTGTGGATTTACAGAACACCTTATGTGAATCGGTTGATCAGTTGAGCAAAAAAACTGTGGTTCTTTTAAACCAGTCATTTGATGAGCAAAACGCCAAGCTGACAGAGAAGATTTCTACTGTCCTTAGCAATGCATCTGGGAATTCAGTAGCAGAAATACATAAATATTTCAAAATGGAAATGAAGAGATTATCAGACCATCTACAGTTAATTTCAAAACAGATGAACAATGCCAATAAAGAACTAAGTATCAAAGAAAACAGTACTCCTCTTCAAGAGGAGGTTTTTCATGTAAAAGAGGCTGATGGTGAATGGAAGATTAATGTAAATTTAGCAGTGTCTGTTCTTAGTTTTAGCTTGTTGTTATTTGTCGTTTTAAAGAACTGATGTAGTTTAAAAAGAGAATATGATTCTCATTGTTAATTTTTATGATTCATCCGATGAATATTACAAAAATTTACACCGCTCCGGTATCAGCAAGAACTTTCAGATCCTTGTTCTGGTATTTCTCAGCATTCTGCTGATTCCAAACACCATTAATTTACCATTGTACCTTTGTTTTACTATTTATAAGGCTCCTTTTATTAGTAAGCAGACAACTAGTGCGATAAAGCCTTTAAAACTATACATAATATGATCAGAATATATATACCACCAAAAGTATTTAAATGTTAATAACATATGGAGCAAAACTAGCCAAGCCAAACCTTTTTTGACAATTGTAAGATGAAAAACTGCTGACTTCTAGTAGAGGTGTCAGTATTTCTTAACAGTGTAAAAGGTTTAGGGATGTGGGCTTGGGAAGCATAATCCCAATTATCTAGACTTTGAAAAAGTAGTTTTTTATGGTCAATTTCTTATAACAACAACAACTCTAGATGTTATCACACAATTAGAAAATGAGTTTTTGGTGGTCATTGATATTGTTATTTTTAAGGTTATGTTAGGGAAAGGTCAAGGAGCCTTTAGCAAAGCCCTATTAAGGGAAAGGAGGAAGAGGTTTGGAAATGAGGGTGGAAAGATGGAGCCTGTTGATTTTTGTTTTGAATAAGGACAGGTTATAAGAGTCTTGTGAAGCTGGAAGTAGGTAGGACTTTTTGAAGTTTAACAGATCTCGGGAGGAAGGATGAGTTGTGGGACAGAGTTTATGAATTTGACCTAGGATCTCCTACGAGCAATGTTCATGGTTGAATTTATAAAAATGGAGAGATTTGCAACTCAGCACCAATGAGAAAAAGGGCTCAGCACCAGGGGTGTAGTGCTAGGGGGGCTCAGGGGGCTGTTAATGTTAAAAATTGGCAAATTTCTACTTTTCCTATTGTTTTTGACAACATTTTGTGGAAAAGCCCCCCCCCCCCTAGTTATTTTGATAGCACTACACCACCGCTCACCCATGAGACTCAGTGAGGTATTATCAGTTGTTGATAAGGCATACCATTTTGAAATGGTATTTTTGCAGAATACAAGACAAACAATTTTGATTTTGATTTTTCTTGTCATGTTTATAAAGTATCAAACTACTGTAAAATAAGACAGGATAAATTTATCTTTCACACCCATACAATCATTTGTTTATATATTTACAGTTAAAGGTTTGCCAAAAGACTGTTTGACAAGCTGCATGTCAGTCCTGTGCCATCTGGCTCCACCTGAACATTCTTGACCACACCATTTTCAACAATCATGGCGAATCTAAATGGGAAAAGTATGGTTGCATTTCATTTGTGACAAAAAGCTACTAGAGTTTGTGAACTTGAGAATCCATGTTTAAAAATTGTTAAGAGTTCCCCCTTTAAAATAACCTTTCCATCCAGATATGAGAAAAGTCCCCCAAATGTCAGTAGCCTTGTAACTTTAAGAAACTTTTCTGTTCCTATAAGTTTTGTCAGAATCTACATACATTGAAGCCTCCATACAATTGACACCAGATGTTCTTAAGAGGTTCTGTTGTCTTAAGGCTTTGTATACATGGCCTTGGTCAAGGCACAGTGCCTTTTGGATCAACCTCGTTTGGAAAGATAGAGCATTTTCAAATGTATCCATTTTCATGTTAGCACTTTTTGTTTGGAAGGTCAAAAGGATACACTTTAGTTAGTTTTCATTTGAAAACAGAGAAGAGGCAAAAGGGCCTGGTATTGTACAGTGGGTAATTTTATAGCTTAATGCTGTTAAAAACAGGTCAGAATCTTCCCAAGATTAGATTCAAATGGTCTAAATTTATAAGGTGTGTCCTCTTTTTCACAAAACTTCAAATTTCACAAAAATTCGCAAAGCCTATTCTTTAAAACTTTGTATTTGGCATGATTATTTTTAACATTAGGATAGGTGAAGATGAGGTTTAATTTAGACCCCTATTTCACTGTCTATTGTGGTTGTAAAATGAGCTTGTATCATGTATCACATACTTCAAAAAGTGTAGTAGCATTTTGACAAAGGATTTCATCAGATGAAGATGAAGGCTAGAAAAGCAGCTATAGCTAACATATTAAAAGAATTTGGTTTTTCTGATATCTTATATATAAAGTTAATTCATACCTTTTACATCTTACATTTCCAAGCAAGGGTGTGGCATCCAGTTCTAGATCAATTGCCTGTAATACAATATTTCTAAATAAATACACAATCCTACTCATAAAAAAATAATCGTAGAAACCTTACGAATCTCAAATCAGTATATCAAAATATTTAAATATTTCGTATTATTTAAATTTATAAAACATTGCCCACAACCTACCAAAAAGTTTAATTATTCAAACTGATACAGATTATCTGAAAACTCAATGTACCTTTGCGAATTCTCCTTTCATATCAGCAAGCATTCTGATCTGGAAAAGAATTACGATTATTACGAAGAATTACTTTTTATTCCTCCTCTAGATACCAGACCAGATACAATATTTGTAATTTCCCTGTTGAAATGATTCAACTATTCAGTTTAGAAAAATGCAAATCAATTAAGAAAAATTAAAAGAAACAGAAAGTGGATGAAAGGAAAACATAAGTAAAACTGAATTGATCAATAGTATGCCTCATTTACAGCATCAAAGTGGGTAGTGTGAAAGGGTAGTGAAGTAAGCAGAAATGGATTCCAGTGCAAATTTTTCTTCAGGAATAGAAAAATCATTGATTCAATTTTGTGGATAGCTCTAAAGCAAATACAACTTTAAATAAGCATCTTGTGCGTTCAAACAATCTTTTTCAAGTTGACTTGAATTATTTCACAAAATCAAATTTTAGATACCTTTCCAGTTGCCTTGTGATGGTCTCCCCAGGCAGCCATTACAAATGGGTCATTTACTGAAACACATGCAACCACAGCAACACCTTTTGCCTGTGAAAATGAAAATTGTCTAAATGTTTAACAAGGTTTAATGAGACTGTGAACTGTATATTGAAATAGTTTTTAGCCAAAGAAGGCTGTAGTGACACTGTCAAAAATTTAACCTGTTAATCAAATATAGCAAGATACTTTAATGCCACACAGATACCATCAGCTTAGTTTGATTTAGAAAAATATATTTGCAATTTGGTATAAATAGTCAGCAACTATCTATTACTCTTCAGTTGTTAACATAAATCAAGTTTGTAGATCAGAGTATGTTCAGTATGCATAGCATTATAAACTTGAAGAGTTGACAGTACTGGGACATCAGACATTTTTGGACCATTTGTCTGCACCTGCACCTGATATACACTAATTTTTTTTATAAGAACAAAGGTCGATGTTGAGTATTCCAGTTTCTTAATGTTCTGGAAATTTCAATACTCATTGTTTATTAAGAGTTTTTTAATTATAATGTCATGAATGATGTTATGAAATGTTTGTGACCTTTTTTCCCGTCAAGAGATTTGCTTCCGATCTGACGCTGTATTTAGATGTGGGAAGTATATTTTTTTCCTTGTGTCTTGATTTCTAGGCCATCAGGGTAATCATGTTCCTTTACAAAATATTTTACAAAATTTCATTGTTCTCAGTTTTATCACGATTTATTAGTTTCTTAATTTTTTTGCTTTCAGTACTGAAGTTTCTTAATTATTTCTAACTGCCCAGTACTCGTTTTTTATAGCCAGTTTCTTATAAAAAAATGAATGTCTAGGGGCTATTAGTGCACCTAAGATCCCTGCAAACTGGAAGCATGTGATATTTTAAAATCTAAATATGCAACATTAAAAGTATACTGTAAATGGATTACCTTTAGTTTATCGAAATCATCAACATATCCTGGCAAATGTGTTTTGCTGCACCCTGGGGTGAAGGCTCCAGGTACTCCAAATATGATGCCTTTCTTGTCCTTGAACAAGTCTGCAATATTCACTGTTTCTCCTGGGCTGTTCTCCCACAAACTGACAGATGGTAGTGAATCACCTTCCTGTGGAAAGCAAAATAAATAAAAATTGATTTGCTCATACGAAAACCACGAACGCGTTATTTCGCCGACTGAGCCACGTGGTAGTCTGTGTTTGGTAACCCTGTGGATCAACTTCCGTGTTCTTGCTTCACTGGAAGCAAATTCAAAAATGACAATAGGGGATTGAATAATGTCACGTGCTTCATACTGCATCACTGCTGACCAACTTTCTTCAGTGTCAGTAAGTGGAAGAATGGATATGGGATACATTTTTATCAAATTATTTAGCACGAATGACAAAGCTGAGCAAAAAACCTGTTTTCAAGTTGCTAACAGATGTCTGCAACGTAATCTAGAGTTTTAATTTTGCCACAGATACGGTTGCTGCTTGCCTTAAATCCGATAATACAAAACATGGGTCACGAGGTGAAGCGAGGTTTGGAGTGAATCTGTCACATTAATGACTTCTCTTTTGAAACCGCAAAACAAATTACAAATAAATGCACACAATTTACGAGTTTTCTCATACATACAAATGACACCATAGACACGTTATCGATAAGGCCTAGGAAATAATTTGTGCATTTAGATCTGAATCGACTCCCCACCCCTTCATTTTGCAACAATTGTGTAACACAAAAATTGAACTTAAGGTAAGGAAAACAGAAAACGGTTAAGCAAAATCTGCTTGAAACTGAAATGAATTGTTCTTGACAAAATCGGCTGTCCACTGTCCACTATACTTGATGATCGTGCTAAATCCCTTCCCAAAACACAAAGACGGGCCTAAAATTGAGCACCCAGTCGCTAACTTGATTGCACGGTACAGTTGTAAGAAAAACTAGAAGAATCTACATTCCTTACCTTAATAGGCATGTTGACGGCAATACTTGAATGGAACCCTGCAACTCTAGCTAACGCAGATCTTGTTACTGTCCTGGTGCTCCTGGCAAATGCGAGTGCAAGCATATCGAAAGAGACGGTGGGAGTCGACAATAAATGATGGACAGCGTCCCAATGCTCCTACGCTGCAGCCCACGCACAGCAAATCCTTGTGTCAAAGAAGATAATTCCTAAATACAGAAAAACATCATTATTTTTTGCTAATTTTTTCCTGTTAATCTACAGTGGCGTAGTGAGGGGGAAAAGAGGGGGTGGATGCTCCCCCCCATTTGCAAAGAATCTCTTTGAAAAATGACGTTTTCCGGTGTTTCAAAAGTCGTGGACCAAGCTCAGTTCCTTGCTCAACTTGCCTTTGCGCCTTTGCCTCTTTATTTATTTACCATTTTCCTATTTTTTGCTTCTAATGAAAAGTTTATAAAACAAAGAGCAAAATTTTAGCGCCAAGGGTTGATTCGATTATCGTGTAACACCTTTGAGGTGCCTGGAAAAAATTGGAAACACCCATTTTTCAAATTCAGTTTTTACTTTAAGATAAAAAAGATAAGAAAATAAAAAAAAAAATTTTTGCATAATTTCATTGCCACTGAAAACCATAATATTGCTTTTTACCGAATCGGAGCAAATTTTACCGAAGAACACATTGTGGGCATCCCCCTACACTCCGGTAAATCCGTTCCTGCAAATGGCTCTAATATTTTGGCTTGCTGAAATTTCAGAGGAAAAGAAATACGTATGAGTCTTAGAGACTCGACAGTCTCTTTAAGCAATATCACCAAGAACCGCACCGCAAAGCAGTGCTTAGGTTTTGGCGGACTGTATGCCATCCCACAGAGTTGCAGCAGAAGTGTGATGTAAAGAAACTTCACACTGAAATTTCAGGTTTTTTTTAATATTTTAATTTTAATCTCGATTATTTGCACACGATAAAATGGGGGAAAACATATCTTTACCTTCATTCGCCATTAGAAAAGAAAGTGAGGTCGGTTTCCAAGCTAATGTCTTATTTATAACCTTTGTGTCGAGATCTGATCTGTTACTTATAAATCTGAACAATTAGATAGGATATGCTCGCGATTCTGATTGGCCCACTTTGATCCACAACTGGGTATATATATTTCCAAGCCTAGAGTTTTAGATCCATTTTCTGGTGTTCTACTCTCTGAAAAGTGTCAGACGAAAAGGTTTGGTATTTTTCACAATGTTTGCGTTTTCAAAGCCATTTTTAAACAGGATGCTAACTGCTGGTGGCAAAATACAACTTTTACCGCAATTTTTTATTCTTTATTAAATGGTATCTTATGGCCATATTTCGTTGTCGGTAAAATAATCTATCGGTAGGCGAAATAGCACCAAAATTCTTCTCCATCTATGTTTTCGTCGGTAAATTTGTCTATTTATGGCCCTCCACACCCCCGTAGTCTGGAAGGTCAAACGAACCCCACTGACCTTAGAAGAAATATGCAAAAACGAGAAAATAAATTTTTTATTTTTTTAATCTGTTATTTTTAGTTTATAGAGTGGTTCTTTTGTTCATTTTTCCATGTCAATGTTTTCATTAAACCGTGTTTCATTTATTATTCTCCTACACCTTTTTTAGCTCCTGTTCAGATCTAAGAAACGTTTGATTCCGAGCTACATTAATAAGGTTATTCTAAAACTTTGCAAGTTCATTCCTGTTTTATGTGAACAAAACAAGAGACAAAACCATGGGACATATTGATAAAGAAACTTGAAAATATTGTCTCAAATTTTTCTCCATTCAAAGTCCATATTCCTAAAAGTTGTCTTCCCGCCAAGGCGGCCTTTCGTTAACAATTTCAAAACTTTGATATTTTGGTCCCTCCGCTTTAAAATAGGTTTTGCCGGCCCTAGCACAAAAAGTACCTTTCGCTGTTTGCTTTTTATGTATTGCCTAATTACAACCATTTTATTTATCGAGTTTGCATTTGGATTTGACACATGCAATCTTACAGGCGCATCGCTAAAACTTTCCCAGTCTTGCTTCGACTTGCAACCGTATATGACAGAGAAGAAATGGAAAATAATTCGAAATAAAGCAAAATTTTGATGTAAAAAATCCTATGAATGCTTTTCTGCAGTGATTAACAGTAAAAGTGTGCAGTGATAAAACTATTTATTGTCACAGCGAGCAAATTTTACGGATTTTTCTCAACATTCAACATTTAAATTCACTGAAGCCTGAATATTTCACAATTCTCAATGAATTTGATTGTCTGAGTATTAGCAACCATAATAAAGAGATTATGAAATATGTTGATTTTTAATGTAAACGCATAACCAGTTGTATCACAAGTTGGTTAAGTTGAGATATCAATTGCAATTCTCTATTAAAGTAATATAATGAATTCTTCCTCTTGTCCCTTTGTCAAAAAATGGCGTTGATCACCTTACGAGCGAAAATAAAGGCCGCGGTCAGCAAAAGTTGGTTAAAAGGGTTTACTATATTCAGTATGAACAAAGATACTGGAATAGTGGTATGAATAGAAGTTGGTATGAATAGAAGATGGCTTTAGGTTATAAAACCTTAGTTTTCGCAAACTCTGCCACCTAATGCTCCTTTTTATCTTCCAGTGTTTTTAGGGCCGCTAAAAGGAGGGGGAAGGAAGCAAACTGTTCCAGGGCCTCGAGAACTAGGGGGCCTCAAAAATTAATCAATTCTTTTTAAGGCTCAAATAATTAAATATAGCAAAATTATGAACGAACTGAAGCAAATCTAAAGGGTTTAGTCGCGAAACTTTCACACGTTGAGGTCACCAGTCTGGTTCTAATTCTAATGTCTGGGGTCCTTTAATTGTTCTTCATGCTAAGAAATCTTCCAACGAAAACTTAACATTTCTGTCAAAAAAATTCAACCCCGCTCTAATGCCGTACTTGGATGGGGGAATAATATTTTCATTCTGTGTCTAAATTGTATTACCACAACCATTAACTCTTATTGGTAGACTTTCATAAATGGCTGTCTATTTGTTATTTAAGTGTTAAATTAAGTGTTAACTCTGAATACCGTATTTTCTCTAAATAACAAAATCCAACGTTTGGGCGCGGTGATTAATGGAGGGCGGCGTTTATCAGACTGTGGCGCTCATTAGAGGAAATACGGTATAACAAGTTCTTGTTGCTCTGAATCAGATTGGGAATCCTTTGCGATTAGGTACAGTACTTAAAAATGTCTATTTTAGAGGAAGACAAGAAAAATCTTGTATGATTCCTGACACTTGATTTTGAATAAATGATGAGAGTTTAACTTCTGTCTTATTTCAGTTCTAATGTAGTTGTGTTATATTCAAATTTATGAAAAAAATTAAAATTCTTCTTAGATTTTTTAGTCCATATTTGATTTTACCTATCTACATTCAGAAGCGAAGCCAAAAAAATTTTTGAGGGGTAAAGACAAGATTTGCACACAGAAAAAGGACATGTGTCGCTCTTTAAGGGTGCGGTTAAAAGATAAATAATCTTAGACGCTGCGTTTATGCGTTTTTATTTCAAATTTCATACTTTGGTGCCATACTTTGGAAGTTCAACTGCTACAGAAATGTTAATACGTTACGATTTTTGCAGAGAAGTTACAGGGTGAGGGCAAAATTTTTATTCTTTTGTCAGGCAAAAATCCCTAGAGTGCTGACGGACAAAAATTTCCTCCGATGGAGGGCTAGATGCTTCCGACGGAGGGGCTGTAGCCCCCCCTAGCCCTCTCCTGGCGTCACCAATGTTTGTACTTGAAATGATGTTCTACTTATTCTAGATTTCTAGAATTTTAGCAGCTTTTCTCGACTTTCAGCGCGAACCGTCTTTATTAACGCTTCCGCCTCGCGTTCCGATATTGATTTTAGGGCAGTTTCTTGATCTACGATAATGCCTCTCTATCCTTGTTTTAAAGAAGTATATAAGTGGATTGATAAGTGAATTCGAGAGTAGAGCCAAATTCTCTGCCATGGATAGCTCCTTCTTGTACATGATGACTGTAAACGGTGTTGAACAAGCAAGGAATGACGTAACAACCAGTAAGCACACAACTAAAGTGGCCCGTTCTTTCTTCCACGTTGCCATGTGTGTATTCATTTTCAAAAGCTCCGACTTTCGCTTGAAAACTTGAAAAGCAAGGCAAGAGTAAAGAACGAGAATGATGGCTGACTCCAATGACAATAAAACTCCATACGCAAAGTCCAGTCTCTTTGAAGTGTAAGTTGGGAATCGATATTTGACTCTGTCTGCGAGTAGCGCAATTACACAGGACGAGATGACGAAAAGCCAGATAAATGCCACGGCAAAGTGCACACGGCTTCGTTTCATATGGAACATACGGTGCTTTATTGGCAACCTAACAGCAAGTAGACGCTCGATTCCGATCATCATGACAAAATTCACTGAGACTTGAATTGACACAAACAAAAGTATATAAAGACCTTGCTTGATATTGTATGAAATATTTGTGTTCTTCTGTTCCTCATAGGTCTCTATCCCTATTAATGAAAGGAACGCTGCTCCTGTTATAAAGTCGGCTATGGCCAGATTGAAGAGAGTCAGTTCGAAGTCTGTAATCTTCCTCCATCTCTTACTCATTGCTAAAATTTCAAGTGCATTTAATACTATTACTGCTGCACTTAAAGCGTAAGCAGTTGCGCTTGGGCAGGGCAAGCAAAGGGACGCTTCTGAAGAAACAAGACTTGATTGGTTTTTGCGAGTCTCGTTCACTACTACCCTGCTAAAATTATCCATTTCGTTTTGCTTCACTGTAGCTGGATGTCTTTACGAAATTTCCTGCGTGCAACGTTTTTGATCCTTATCTAGTAAACTCCAATAACACAATGAGCATAAACTTGTTCTTGCATCGCATATGCAATTGGTTTCTTTTCCTCTTTTGTTAAAATTCCAATAGCTGTGTTTTACCCTTTTTGTCCTAGCAGGATATTGCCTCTCCCAATTTCAAGGAGACGTAAACCTTTGTTTTTGCGTAAAGATTGCAATTTTCGAGAAGAGAACAGCAAGGGCGTATTTGCAAAAACCAAATTACCCCAATATAATGTGATTCGGATATTGGTCAATATTTGCTCTCAAATCCAGAGTGTGCCAAAACGTATAGTGACGGTAATTTCAAAT